AGTGCTGGGATTTCAGGAGTGGAAGTGCTTCCAGTTTACAGTAGACATTTTTACAATAAGTGTGTATCATTTTGTTTTGTTTTCTTTTGCAGTGCTGGCGATCAAACCCAAGGCCTCAAGGATGCTAGGCAAGCACTCTCCTACTCAGCTGCATCTCCAGCCTAGATAGCTAGCCTAGATAGCCTAGATATCATTTTTATAAAAAGATGAAACATTAAAAATAAATTTTTGTGGAAATTTGTACAGCTGGATGCTTAAAAAGCAGAGGTCAGAGTTCAAACCTCAGACTCCCCCCCAAAAAAAGCAGAAGTCAGTTAACATTTTATGTAAATGACAAGATAGTAAATGTTTTAGTGTCTACAGGCATAGAGGAGGAAAAGGGGGTGCTCTAATACCCCTATAACAAAAGATAGGCTAAAAAGAAAAAAAACATAACAAATTTATTTTAGTTTTTTTTTTTTTTTTTTTCCTTTGGTGTTACTGGGGCTTGAACTCAGGGCCTACACCTTGAGTCATTCCTCCAGCCCTTTTTTGTGAAGGGTTCTTTTCAAGATAGGGTCTCGAGAACTATTTGCCTGGCTGACTTCAAACCCCAGTCCTCCTGATCTTTGCCTCCTTGAGGAGCTAGGATTATAGGCAACAGCCATCAGCACTCAGCCTTAATTATAGTTTTATGTGATACAGGGGCCTTCAGAATAAAGACCCAAAGACACGGCAGGGTGAGGGGTGTCTGTTTTATGCCGAGGTACAATGAAGCTGGGACGGCTGTGTAGAAATGTGATGGACAAACAGACTGAGTGGGGAAACCTAGCAAAGCCTGTTTGGTCAGATTCTTCTGGACCTCTCAGTTTCTTGAATAAAAGGTCAGAAAGTGACTGTTTTTGAGAGAGTATCAGGTGACAGAATGCTGGAAATGCTCTCCGTCTTGGTCAGGATGGTGGTTTCACCTGTGTGTGCAGGTATGTGGCGGGACCCTCTGGAAGAGAGTTTTGTGACTGACTATAAGACAAGGAAAAGGTAGAGAATTTCTTTATAGCCAGTTTGAGTCAGAAATGACGGGGAAGGTTAGCATACTAATTCCAGGCTTGATGTCTGGTTTTGGGGACAAGGAGTTACAAGTTTCTATGACCTATCGCAGGGAAGAAGAATTCTGATTTCTATGACTTGCTTTGGAGGAGAATGAGAGATGGAGGCAGGCAGGCAGGAGAAGGTTTGAAAGACCTTTGTTTTGAGACTGTTTCTGAGATCTTCCAAACATACATTAAGTTAAAGTACTCAGCATATCAAAGCACTGTACTTTGGGGTACTATTTTCAGAGTCCCAACCTAGGCCAGGAGGCAGAATCAAGGCTATTATGTAGGTGCTTATATAACAAGATGGAAAAGAAATTTCCATTTTTTTGTTGACAAAATTCAAAATACAATGATAAATTGAGCATAATCTTTTATATGGAACAAGGGAATTCGTTTTCTGGAACTAACATGTCACTTAACTGGAGTTCAGTATTAGTGTTTCCTGTCATCCAAGTTGATTGCAAACATTCATCTGTTAATGCTGATCTGAAATGAGGTTTTATATATTTCTTCCTTGAATATATCTTCATACAAATAGGTACTGCCAAATGTTGATATTAATCCTCAAGTATATGACTTCAGTTGAGCATTTTTATTGCTTAGATTCTATTTGCTTGTTAGTATGTCATTACATTTTAATTGCAGTTAATAGATGGAAGCTCCTCAATTGCAAAGTTAGGTAAATTTTGAAATTTGAAACTGTCCTTTTTATTTACTCTGATATCTAACATACTCTTCTAGAACTGTACTTTGAGTTCAGAAGATATATCTACTACAAATTGATGTAGGAATGGAGGTCTTGCTTCTTGTTTTACCTTTTGGCAGTATGGGAAGTATATTAAGTAGCTTGATACTACTTGTAAATGAAAGTGAAACAACTTCACGGTATGATTTTTACATATAAGTACCATATTACCTTGTATTTTTAGGTTTATTAAAAAAATATCGACTGGAGAGGAGATGGGGAAAGGGCATTGAAGGGTGAGTATAGTGCAAATACTGTACACACATGTATGTAAATGGAAAAATGATACCTGTTGAAACTGTTCTAGGAATGGGAGGAGTGGGGGATAAAGGAGAATGGTGGACAGAATGAATTCAAGTATGATATAATTGATATAAAGTAAGAACTTTTGTAAATGCCACAATTTACCCCCACCCAGTAAACAATAAGAAAAAGAAAAGGTATCAAGTCTGCAATAAAAGTTAATTTCCAAAAACATGGTGTTTGAGAATAGTGATTGAGGACAGTTTTTCTCATTTAGCAAACGTTTAATCTCAGCTCTTAACTAAACAAAACAACCCCACAGAGCTGGAGTGTAGTTCACTGGTAGAGTGCTGACCTAGTGTTCGTGAGGCCCTGGGTTTGATCCTCCCCCCCCACACACACACCCACACACAAAACTTTGACTAAGCGGTGTTGGTGGCTCATGCCTATAATCCTACCTTCTCAGGAGGCAGAGATCAGGAGGACTGAGGTTTGAAGCCAGCCCCAGGCAAATAGTTTGCGAGACCCTATCTCGAAAAACCCCATTACAAAAAAGGACTGGTGGAATGCCTACCTAGTAAGTGCCAGACCCTTCAAACTCCAGTGCTGAAAAAAAAAATCAAAACTTTATTACTGCTAAGCCACTGAGCTGATGTGTTGATACAGCAAGTCAGGACATTCAGCTTTAATTTCTGACAAAAATTCACAGAACTGGTAGTTTCTAACTCCATGAACATTAACAAAGTTCACCTTTGACACTATTGGTCAAATATTTGAAAGATTCAAATATTTCCCACTAAATATCTGCTACTGAATATGCAGTGAATAACCTTAGGCTTTAAACACCTTACACTTTCACAAGATTTCTAAATTTGCCTATCTGAGCCTTTTTGTGCTGTATGTATATTTTCAGTTGTAACACATTTTAGCAGATTGTACTTCAGGTTGTATTGACTTAGTGTTTTTCAACTTCTTAGCAATATTCTTCCCTGTAATTGTTTCATCCAGACTATTCATAATGTCTACTATTTACTGCACACTCTGAACGGACTTCTTGAGTAGATGGCAACAATTGAGGAAATAGTATCAACATCCTTTGCCTAATTGAGACCTGAAGAAAACCACTGAAAATCATTTGCCTTAAAAAAAAAAAAGTTTATTGATGTTTCTTCCAATGTTGGGTCTTTGAGCATTTTTTTTTTTAACTAACAGTCTAATAGTTTCGAAGAAGTTTTGTTTTATAGACAAACAGGTAGAATCAAGGATATTATGTGGGTACTTTATTTACTTTCTATATACTTTATAATGCACTTCTTTAAATGACACAAATAAATTTATTTTTGTTTCCATGCTTAACAAGAGTAAATACCCACTATAGTGGAGTTGAATTGTTAAAATGAGTGATTCCTGTTACAAGTTACATCCACTGGTCATTTGTGTACAATCACCAATTCACATGAGTGATGAAGTGCCCAAATAACTTTGCTTCCTATTATCCTGCTGCCTGAGCCAAAGTTGCTCCAAATCAGGCTGAAGAATAAAAACCAAACGAACAGAGAACAAGCCAAGAAATGTCTGCTGATACAGGCTTTTTGTTAGTTTACATGTGATCTTTAAATGAACTAATGGTTTTCTAGTTTGAAGTCTTCAATTCAGTATAGCAACCAACCTCGTATCTACAAATATATGAAAGCATGACCATGAAATCATCCTCCAGGCTCAACAATCACTTCTGTCTCGTTCGAGATTGTCTCACTATATAGCTCAGGCTGGCCTAGAACTCTAGATCCTCCTGCCTCAGCCTCCAGTTGCTGGGATTACAGGTGTGTGACCATGCATGTCTCTGACAATCGCTTTTAAAACAAAACCTTATTTGGCTATGAAAACACATCTTTAGTTTTTGCACACACAGAAGTGTACTTTTATTTACAACATAGTCATGTTGTAGAATTTCATTATCACTGCTCAGATGCACTTATGATCAGTAATAATCTATGACATACTTTTCATGCTATTTTTGGAATATCATGTCCTCCTTGTTTGGGGGCTCACTCATCCATTGCTACTGGATGAGACCTGGAACTTGATTTGTATGGTCCCTGTGGCCCTCCCCCCACTTCTTCTCCCCTCCGCGCAGGGTTCGCTTGCTTTGCAGCACTCTACCACTTGAGTCACACCCCCCAAACCTTTGGTTTGCCTCTCAGCAGAAGGATTTTAGTATCAAACCACCACTTTCTTTTCTCTTTGGACAGGAAGAGTGAAAGCTCTTTCTTAGGCTTTGCAGATCTGTTTCAGGAAGCCCATTCTGGTGGTATTAATTTTTGATAAAACTTGTCCAGCCAATACTTCATAAAGTTCTCTTTCATACACCCATGTCATCAGCAGAGCTGTCTGTAAGTTTAAGATTCTTACTGCCACTAGACTACTGAATGGCAAGCGAGGCCGGAAGCCAGTTCTCTGGGTGCTATCTGGTCCTTTCACAATTCATTTCCATCGAAGACAGATTCTGCAGTCTGGGCGTGGACTTGGAGTGAGTATATTTAGGGTGATGAAAACACACCTCATCCCTGCTCCTCTTTGCTCAGAGCTAGCTGAAAGTAAGAAAGGCCTTCCCCGGTCAATTCCTAGTTTTGGTACCATATCCTCACACTTAAATTCCCAGTAAGTATACATTCTCCACGAACTGAGTTCAGTGAGTCTGACAGCAGGACTGCATTGCTCCCTGTGCCACCCGGGGAGGCCAAGCAGGGGGTCTGCTCTCCCGCAAAAACCCAGGGAGCTGGCTGCTGACTGAGGGCGCGCGTGCGAGAGGGGCTTCCCTGGGCGGTGCTCCCCTTGTCCCGGCCGCCCGAGTTCGGGTGGGGAGGAGCTTGCACGGGCTGGGCGGGGCGGGGCCCAGAGGGCGGGAGCCGGGCGGCTACGAGGCGCCCTCGGCGCGGAGCCTTACACCGCATGGTAGGGAGTTCCAGGGCCCCCACCGCCCGCAGACCACCCGACGCTCAGACAAACATGGTCTGTACCCCGGGAGAGAGGGTCAGAGCCACTCTGGAGGTTGGTCCGGGAGATGAACTGGGAGCCCGTACTCCGGTAGGAAGAAGACAGGGACGGCCAGGCCGTACTGTCTCTTTAAGACAGTGTTCTTGCTGACACAGAAGGTGAGTAACCTGGCCCCAGGTCCCAGGAGAAACCCTGAGAAGAGATGGGTCATTAGTTTGGTCTGGGTAGGTGGATGAGAATACAAATCTCTGGGCGTGGAGTTTGGGGAAGTAATAAATGGTAGAGGGCCTCCACTTGAATCAAAGTCTCAAGATACCTTGTAAATTTTAACAGGGCTCCTTGAGAAGGTGGTGAGACTAAGCAAGTCCCAGTTCCAAAGGGAGGAGAGCATCACCCGGCTTCAGTGTCCACAGGGCACAGTCCTTCATGCCTCTTGGTAAGCATGGGGTAAAGGCAGGAGCTTCGGGCTTCAGTGGTGGATGGGAAGGCACAGGAACCACTGTTGCCAGCTGTCAGATGGCCTTGGGTATCCCGTCTTCAGGCAGTTTCCTGGGCCGAGAAGTGGGGCAGTACCCCAGGACCTCAGAGGGCACAGTACAAGAGCTGATAACACTGTGCTTCCCTGGAGCCCAGTGGGCAGAGGGGTGAGGCTGAGTAGTTTGATGACACAGGGTGAGCAGAACGAGGACTTGTGAGGTCACAGAGGAAGTGGGATGCTGCTGATGGGGCTTAGAGCTGGCTGCCTGGGGACAGGGAGGTGTTCGCCAGGCAGACACAGTGCTTTCTGCCTGTGGAAGGGAGTCTCTGTTATCAGCAGAGCATATCTGGTGCCCATGGTTGACTGATGAGTCGGGTGAGGCCACCCCATCGCAAGGGTCCCCCTCCCCATCCTACACTGAAATGAAAATGGTCCCATGTCCACCATCCAGAAGCCTAAACAACATGTGGAAGGAAAGCAGCAGAGAGACTAAGTGGCATGTCCTGCTGTTTCCCTCTTCCCAAACCTCTTCCCAGGCAGACAGACCACCCTTGCTCTGTCCAAGCTCAGCTCTGTGAGCTTTCTGTTCCTCTTGAGTAGCTGACATCCAGCAATTGGGGTACCAGGGCTCTGGGGAGTATTGCTGGAGAGCAGATGCATTCAGAAGATCACCACTGATCCCCCCAACCCTCCTACTTCTCCAGATGCAGAGGCCTCCATGGCTGTGATAAGTCTGCTGTTCTTGGCAGTGATGTATGTTGTTCACCACCCCCTGATGGTCAGTGACCGGATGGACCTGGACACACTAGCCAGGAGTCGACAGCTGGAGAAGCGAATGAGTGAGGAGATGCGGCAGTTAGAGATGGAGTTTGAAGAGAGAAAGCAAGCAGCTGAGCGAAAGCAGAAGGCAGAGAACTTTTGGAGAGGAGACACATCCAGTGACCAGTTAGTGCTGGGGAAGAAAGACATGGGATGGCCATTCCAGGCTGAAGGCCAGGAGGGGCCTCTGGGCTGGATGTTTGGAAACCTGTGGAATGCTGGCCTCTTTTGCCTTTTTCTCATCTTTGAGCTCCTGCGACAGAACATGCAGCATGAGCCAGCCTTTGATTCCAGCAGCGATGAGGAAGAGGAGGAAGTCCGTATTGTGCCTGTCACCTCTTACAACTGGCTCACTGACTTCCCCTCCCAGGAGGCCCTGGAATCCTTTTACAAACACTATGTCCAAAATGCCATCCGTGACCTACCTTGCACCTGTGAATTCGTGGAGAGCTTTGTGGATGATCTCATTGAAGCCTGTCGGGTGCTCAGTCGCCGGGAGGCTCACCCACAACTGGAGGACTGTTTGGGTATTGGGGCTGCCTTTGAGAAGTGGGGAACCCTCAACAAAACCCAGAAATTTGACATCCTGGTGCCCATTGTCCCCCCACAGGGCACGATGTTTGTCTTGGAGATGAAAGATCCAGCCCTTGGTCGCCGCTGTGGCTGTGTGCGAGTGGAGTCTGAATGCATGTGCAAGCGTGAGAAGCTCCTGGGGGATGTGCTATGCCTGGTGCACCACCACAGGGACCATTCGGTGGTCTTGGGCAAGTGTACCAGCTCCATCAAGTCAGCCCTCTGCACAGGCATCCACCTGGATGTGGGCAAGACAATGCAGTGGTTCCGGAATATGGTCAGCAATGCCTGGGCTTTGGTGGCCCACAAATATGACTTCAAGCTCAGTCTCCCACCATCTACCACCTCCTGTAAGCTCAGGCTGGATTATCGCTCAGGTCGCTTTCTGTTAATTAGTTTGGTCCTTGGGGTGCAGCGGGAAGATACCTTGGTCTACCTTGTGAGTCAAGCCCCTGAGCAGGAACAGCTCACCAGTGTGGACTGGCCTGAGTCCTTTGCAGCCTGTGAACACTTGTTCCTGAAGCTGGTGGGGCGTTTTGCTCCTGAGAACACCTGTCACCTCAAGTGCCTCCAGATCATTTCGAGTCTGCAGAACCACCAGAGCTTACCCCCTGGGGCATCCCATCCCATCCTCACCTCCTACCACTTTAAAACAGCCCTCATGCACCTGTTGCTACGTCTACCCCTAACAGACTGGCAGCACAACATGCTCTCTCACCGGCTTCAGGACCTTCTCTGGTTCTTGGGCCGTGGCCTCCAACAAAGGTCCCTTAATCACTTCCTCATTGGTAACACCTTCCTGCCTCTGACCATCCCAATCCCTAAGACATTTCGGAATGCTGAACCTATCAACCTCTTCCAACACCTTGTGCTAAACCCTGTGGCTCACTCACAGGCAGTAGAGGAGTTCCACAATCTTCTGACCCAAGTGAAAACTCTGCCTTGTGCCCCACTGGCTGAGGCACCTTAATATTAAAAAATGGGAGAAGGTATTTCTGATTATTTAGCCTGCAAAAGAATTTATTTTTCACCTGTATCAGTGGTATATATGACCTTGACCTTGCCAGTGGGAGCTATGATAGGGTAAGACACTTTAAGAAGTGTGTGAGATGGCCATCAGGATGGATGCAACTTGCAGGCCTAATTTAGGGTAGGGCTGAGGTTTTCTTCTGACTTAGCTTTCATCATGACCCAAAGACAGTTCAGGGAAACGGATGTTAATAGGAGTATCCTGCTGCTAAGGAATTAAGATCCTGTGAAGTTATGTTTCTATACCAACACTGGAAACAAAAGAAACCAGAGAATACCTCTGTTCCAGCTCACTCCTTTTTGTGAATGACTCCTTGTGAACTGGTTTTCTTATTGAACTGTTAGTTTAATTACCATCCAAGCTGATAGCACTTCACTTTATCCCAAATACTGTGAAGAAAAGTTCTCATACTTTAGGATCCAATTTTTCATACCTTCACGTTTTGAAAATATAACCAAGATGTTTATTTTCCATTTTCTTAATTAGCCCTATTTTCATATGATATAGCTGTTTTATGCATTTGAGAAAAGCCCCAATACTATCTAAATATTTGTTAGCATCGATTCACAAGAAAGCACTAAGTAAATGGTGACCTGTCCCATAATTGAGATAATGTATTTCCTATAATTAATGAAGTAGCCAACAACGGATGACCTTTATAGTGCCTGGAAGCATCACTATTATATGCCCTTCATGAGGAAAATCTTTCTGGGGACCCTAGATGAACAATTTGTGAGGGAAAGCTACTTGCTAAATGGAAAGAATGTTTAGTTGCCATGTGTAGCTGTGCATTTTCTAGTCATGCTTTTATATTCTCTTTTCAAAGATGACAAAGGGATTACTTGAACTATGTTTGCAGTTTTGAAAAGAAGGGCTGTTACAATCCAGGCCCATTGCCAGAGCTGGACAGGAAGGGACTGGGAAGCAGTTCAACTCTTAACAGAGTCCTGATTCTACAGATATGATAGGTATATTTTTCCTTTCTTTCAAAGCCTTGAGCATCCTGAGGAGTGTTAAGAAATAGTGGTGGGTGTGGTTGTTTTGGAAATACCAATGGTGTTCCTATGCCAGGAAGAGTTACTAGGGAGGAGAATCTGGCCCCACATTTGACTTGACCTCAGGTGGGGGGCAGGGTGTGTGTGTGCAGATGCTAGTCTTTGGGGCTTCTGTTGCAGAGTTCACACTCTCTCCCAGCAAAAATAAAAGCATTCTGGAAGCTGGTATCAGTCAATATTTGGGATTCTGGCTACACAGAAGCTACTGTGCTTCCATGTCACTTGCTGGCATCTGCCAGTACTGCTTTCAAGGTATAAGATGCAATGATTGGTTCTATGCTGATGGAATTTCAGTTTTAAAACATGCATATACTTTTTGTTTAGAAATAATTTGCTAGTGTCTTAATTCCAAATCAATAAAGAAGTCTATTTTCTATATAAACTGGAATCTGTTACATTCTGCAGATCAGCATTCTCATATGCCTGTTCACAAGAAGTTCGTGTTACCCCAACAGCTCCATCCAGTACATACTGGTGTTTCTCAGTGTGCCTTAAACCAGTCTGTTCTGTGGTTTCCCAGTGGCCTGGCCAATAGCCAGGAAAGAACATTAAGGAAAATCTAGGTTTCATGGTGAAAGTTATCAACCAAATTAAAAGTTCTTAGCAGCTACAAATGACATACATAAGCACCAGAAGTCTACTCAGGTAGAAAGTAGGTCTGCATGGTTGTTTCTAGTCAGTCTAATAGGAGACAAGAATGAAAACATGAAGTTACGAGTGGGCAGAAGATTACAAAGAGAACAGTCAGCAAAGGTTGGGTGGGGCAGAAGGTACAAAGAAAGAGTACAAAAAAAAGAAGTAATGGAAAGAACAGACCTGTAGTGCTCTGGGAATGCTCTCACAATTAAAGGGGAAGCCTCTCAAGATAGTTAGGAAATTAAGCTGTATTCTGAAACAAAACCTGGCGAGCCCCCAGGATGCAACAGCAGTTCTAGTAGTAGGAATACCTAATGTCCTCTGACCAGCTTTCCATCTGGGAATTCATTTAATCCTCACATTACAACCTCACCAATTAGACTCCTTATCCTCTATTTTACATATCAGAAACAGGCACAGAAAACATGAAACTTTCCCATGGTCATAAAGCTAGTGAGTGTCAGAACCTGGAAGAAAGTACCTGCCCTAGCCACCTTTCAGCATGGTCTTTGGAGTAAAACAAGATTTAGGAGTGAAAGTGCTTTGAAAAGCAAAAAGTACTATATTGATTTTAAGATACAGGGATGTATGTTGTATATGTTATTGTTTGGGAATTCTAGAAGACAAATTGTTGGTTTTGAGCCCAGTATTTAGGAGGTCAGGAATTTCCTAGAGGCCAAAATGAATGCAAAGCCATTCCAACTACATGCCCATTTTGTTCTGTGACTTGATGGCTTAAATCAGGAACTACATTATGGCAAAAGCCAGCTATAGGCTGGAAGGTCAGAGCAAATTTAAAGCGAAAAAATTGCTTTTTAGGTAGCAAATTATTTACTCCATTATTCCTCTAGAAAAGTAAGGAGTTTCCCCTGTATTTTGGAGAAGTAGAATCTGGGGGAGGAGTACAATGGGGGAGAAATAGTTCCAGTACTGCTTTTTTGGCAGCCTAGCCATGGGGGAGGGGCCCCACTCCTTTTGTACAAACAGGAATTGAGCTTTGAATGCCACTGATACCACTGATAAATCATTCAATCTTTTGGCACCTTCAGTAGCACAAACTCTAAAACAAAGACGGCATTCAAAGTAGGACATGAAAGATCAGTCTACACTGAACAGGCCTGGCTCACAGAGACACTGCTAATGGAGCTGGTTCTGTCTCCCTGCATACAGAGTTCCATACAGTCAGCTTAGGAGGCTCTGTTACTGCCATAGAACAGCTTCAAGCCTCACCTGGTGAGTCATTTAGCAGCTTTCCTCTTCCAGAGGTTCCAAATCAGTTCTTCAGGGGCTCTCAATTCTGTGTTACCTAGTACCCTCTCAACTCTTGCTGCTCTTAGTGCCCACATGGAATCCAGAGGATTACACCTGTTCCCACTCTCCTTCCTTAAGTGCACTCAGCAGAGAACAAATTAAGCAAGGGACCTCAGTGCATACTGAGCCTTCATGCTCACAAGAAGTTGAATCTATTACCTGTTCTTCACAGAGCCAGTGAAGGAGGTATTGTCATCCCTATTTTATAGATGGGGAGGACAATGAGGCCCCAAAGAGGTCAGCCATATGCAACCTAGGAACTGAGGATTGAACCCAGGGTCTCAGCCCAGGATTTAATTGTGCCTTCCCACTTTTCTAATCCAATACATATTGAAGTACTTGCTATGTCTGGAGCTAGCATCACGTCCTGAGAAAACAATGGTGAGCAAAGCTAGCTTTGTCCTCATGGAAGACATATTGACAGATTGTCAGTCTATGGAGGGGATTGACATCAAAGTCACCTCAGCATATGTAAAACTGCAATGCAGACAAGTTCTACTGAAGCCCCCAATAAGGAGATTTGATTGTGTCAGGGAAGACCTCCCTGAGGAAGTTAGCTTCCCAGGAGCTAACTGGGTGAAAATGATGAGGATAAAGAGGAACCTAAGTGGAAGAGATTAAATGTGTAGAAGAGCCCTGTAGTGGAGCTAGGATGGTGAGGGCATATCTGAAAGAAGGCCTAAGTGGACAGAGGGCAGGGAGCAAGGGGAAATGAGGTACAAGATGAGATGGAGTGCTCATGGGGGCCAGACTCTGCAAGGCCCTCTAGGCCCCCTTACAAGTCCCCAGGACAATGGAATCATTGAAGGGTATTAGACTTCTGGGAGGAAGTGGTGGAGAACAACTGGGAGCAACAGACCAGATATGTACTTGGCAAATACCACTCTGGGCCCAAAGGGAAGGAGGTCACAGCAGGGCAACAAGAAGGTCATGTAGATGAAAAGGAGAAAGACCTTCATTGAAAGGGATTTTTTTAGGCAGCAAAAAGCCAGATAATGGATTGGAGGTATGATGGGGGTAGGGAGACATGAGGATGACTTCTGGGTGCTGATGTGGGTTCCTGGTTGGTAGCATTTTCTGAGGTGAAGAACACTATACATTCCATTTCTTTCCTCTGTCTCACACTGCCTTACTCTAAAGATTTGAAGGTGGTCACTGGCAGAACAAGTTTGTACAAAAACCCAAATAGTTTAAAAAAAAAAAGTGGCTTTCAACAAAGGGCAGTGCTTTTGGTTGCCAAATCACTGAGAGACATTTAGTAGGCAAATGGTGTCAGTTGCTAGACATTTCTACAAAGAGAAGGGTCCCCCATGTCAAGAATTATTGCACTCTGAATAACAGCACCCGCGAAGAGAAACATACCAGATAACAGATGTGTGTGTTACAAGAAATTGTAGGATGTTCTAGGGATATTTGAGGGACTTGCCCTGGCTTTTCTTCCCATAATACAATTCTTGGGGTCAGATGAAGCTGAAGGGACAGTCAGGATTTTACACTCTGCTCACTTTTCCAACTTTTCTTTCCCTTTGGTTCTGAGGACTGACTTCACGCACTTGTGCATAATAAGCATGCACTCTACCAGTGAGCTACATCCCCAGCCCTCCAACCTTTCTTTTTTCTTTTCTTCCTTCCTTCTTTCATTTCTTTTTCTTTCTTTTCAAGGGTGGCGGATGGTTTCCAGGAAACTTCGCAAGAATGTAGATAAGAACAAAGGCTTTCATTGAAAATACGTGTACATACATCATTTTGCATCCATTCTTCCCGCCTGGGTGCCTGGATCGTGCCTTATTTCGATGTTGGTCCTTCTTACCTCGATCTCACAACCCGTCCTTTTCTACCTCATTAGAGTTTTTTCTGCCACTAGAGCACAAGTCTCTTGGGGAAATGAACCTCAGTAATCTGCCTCTCCATTAGAAAGCAAATTCCACGAAGGCCTGCCCTGTTCTACGCATCCATTTCCGCGCCTAGCGCTCTTAAGGAGGAGGTTTTCAATACTATTTCGGGGTGTCTATAGACCCCTTTAAGTCCACTTACAGGGCTCCGCCAGGAGCCGTCTATACAGAGAGCATCTCACTTCCTCCTTAGGGCTGCCTACTCCAGCAGAGGACCGAGGCGTTCCGCGCAGGCGCGCCTCTGGCTCCGCCCTCAAGTGGCGTCACTCGGCCGTTACGGTGTTCGGGAATCCGGACGCGCGCAATTTAAAACCAGCTCCGGTGGCGCGGAAGGCAAGATGGGACCTCCGGCCCCAGGTGAGGCGGTGCTTACAGGATGTACGGCGGGCAGGCCCGGCTCGGAACGGTGTTCCGAGGACAGTTCGGCGGGAGGACCTGAGCGGGAAGTGCGGCTATGCTCAGCTGGGTTCTCTGTCCCCCGGCGGAGGGCTGAAGCGGGCGTGTGGGGGAGGGGAGGCCCGGGGCGGTCGGGCGGGGCGTGCTTGGCCAATCAGAACACAGCTGTTCTGGCGTCCCGGGCGCTGGGAGCTCGGTTACTCTTCGCTGAAAGGTCGTTTTCCTAGAGTAAATGTTAGTTTCTGGTCAGTGGAAGCGCTATGGTTACAGCTCTTTGCTTAGAGTACATACATTGTTACAAAAATATTGAGCACTTTTTGTGTAAGACGCTCTGTCAGGTGCAGAGATAAAAGCAAAACAGCTAAGATCTCTGGCCTCTTGGAGCCTGTACTCTAGCTGGGGAGACAGACAATACTCAGAACAGTTACAGGTGACGCTCAGGGCCGTCATTCAGATAACAGAGTATGGGGGCTACTTTAGAGGAGGAAGATCTTTAAGCACAGACTGGGGAACGTGTTTGAAATACCAGAAGCAAGTGTAAAAACGAGGAGCTAGGAAAGAGCCTGGCCTGGGCTACGACCTAACTGAAGCATTGTGACTAAGCTTAATGCTTGAGATTGGGCAGGTAGGAAGGACGTGGTAGGCCTTGCTTGGAAAGAGGTTTGGAAATTAAGTTTCATTTTGGACATGGTTAAGTGTGATTTACTGGAGAGATGCCCAAGTAAAGAAATCCATAGTTACTTGGGTACGAATTTGACCCATGGGTTATTCCAGAGAGGATATAACCCATTGGCTGAGAAATGAATTTGTACATCATCATCATAGTATAGATTATAAAACGATGGGAACAGGTGAGAGTACTAGAAAGACACTATAGAGAGCACACCCAGGACCCTCATGTAGAGACTAGATAAAAAAAGGATGTGCTGGAAAAACTCAAAAGAGAGTGGTATTATAGAAGCCAAGAATGTTTCAAGAAGGAAGGGATCAGCTCTTTCCAATGCTATTGAATCTCAAAAGAGATGAAACCTAAGAAGTGACTACAGCATTTGACAACATGGAAGTTGTAGTTGATTATAACAAGACTGTTTTCATGAAGTAGTAAGACCAGAACCACACCAGATGAGTGGGAGATGAAGTACAGATACAAGGAAGTATTTTCAAGGTCAGTAACATCTGTTAAATGAATAGATGTATATTGTCAAAGGCAAAGAGAGTAGTCAAAGATTTGAAAAGTTAAAGTGTACCTGTAATTCACAACTTGAGTTTCCTTGGATGAGTTCTGCAGTGATTCCCTTTTCTTTTTTTGCTGGGGGAGGAATAGTACTGGGGTTTGAACTCAAGGCTTCCTGCTTAAGAGGTAGGTGCTATACCTAATGAGCCACACCTCCAGCGCCATTTCTTTACGGTCTGTTCTCAAAAGCGCCTGTGGCTTTCGCCTATAATCCTAAACTACTCAGGAGGATCACGGTTCAAAGCTAGCCTGGGCAAATGCCACAAAAAAAAAAAAATTCTGATTCCCTTCCTTACCCTGCAGTGCTCACATCCACACAGTCACAAGTCTTCTTGAATTTTTTTCCCCTAAAAATTTCTCTTGTCTCCTTCCTGTTTTGACATCCTCTTTGTTTTGGCCTCAACTAAGAGTATGTTAATGATATTTTTCAACTTGTGGGAAGCCATCGGGACCAGGACCATGAGAGGTTCTGCTTGTATTTATTCTTTTATCCCTGTTCCCCATTTTTATTTCCCTTCCCTCACATGACCAACCATTTAGTGTTAATTGTGTGTCACTTTATATTTATTTATTTTATGGTGTTGGGGATTGAACCCGGGACCTGGTGCATGCTAGGCAGCCACCCTACCACTGAGCTACACCCTAGCCTTTTATTTTTTTAATGTGTTTCTGTAAAATAAGTTTTATTGTGCACGTGTGTGTGTGTGTGTGTGTGTGTGTGAGACCAATTGTGAGGTCTGTGTGTAGTTTTTTCTTGTAATGTTGAGGATCAAATCCATGGTCTTGGGCTCTTCCTGAGCCACATCCCCTGTTTTTATCCCCATTTTGGGGGGGATGAAGAAACAGATGTTTAAAGCATTTGCTTGCTTAAAATTTCTCCAGCTAGTAAGTGATATAGCAGGGTTTAAAGCAAAACTTTCTGATTCTTAAAATCTGGAGAATTCTCTGAGTTTATTTTCCTTTTTCAGGAATCTTGTTTCTTGACCTACCACAGAAAGTCATAGTTACTCACTGCCATAGTTATACCCCTGACCTTGTCATTAACAATAGCTATACTCCTGGGCACCAGTGGCTTATGCCTGTAATCCTAGCTAATCAGGAAACAGAGATCAGGAGGAACATGGTTCAAGGCTAGCCATAGCAAATAGTTCCAGAGACCCTGTCTCGAAAATACCCAGTACAAAACAGGGCTGGTAGAGTGGCTCAAGTGGTAGAGCAACTGCCTAGCAAGCATGAGGCCCTAAGTTCAAGCCCCACTACTGCCCTCCCCCCCCTGCCCCCACCAAAAAAAAAAAAAAAGACTAGAATATTGCATCCTACTGGTTTTCTCCCCATCTCACTAGTTGCACCCTCACCATTCCTTTTGCTGGTTCCTCTTTCCTGCTCAGTCTTCTCTCTCATGTTTACTTACTATGTGAGCTCATGTAGTGTTATGGCTTTGAATACTATATGCTGATGACTCTCAAATTATATATCTTGTCAGGAACTTAACCCTGAATTCTAGGATTGGATATCCAATTGAACCCCAGTTGGATGACTAATTAGTATCTCAAGCCTGGAGCCTTGATCTTGCCTCCTTCCCCCAACAAGTATACTTCTTCTGTAGCTTCCTCTCTCAGATCCTGGCAACTCTGTTTTTATCAGTTGTTCAGAATAACCTTAGAGTTAGCTTTGAGTCTTCATGCCCCACATTTACTCCATCAGGAAATCATGCTGACTGTATTTGGAGACCCTATCCAATGTCTAGACACTTCTTACCTCCTACACTGCCACCTTTTTAGTCTGAGTCACCACCATCTGATCTAGTTATTAACAGTTGCCTTCTAACTGATCTTCTTGCTTGGCTATTCTCATTCTCTTTTCAGTCTGTTCTCAACATGACAGCCATAGGGATCTTCTTGAAGCATAAGTTAGATCACTTTATTCCTCTTCTTGTCACCCAATCACTTCTCTTCTCATTCCACATAAGAGGCAAATCTTTACAGTGGCCCACAAGTGAGGCTTATATGTCCCACCAGCTGTCCTTCCATGTTCTGACTAGTGTTCCTGTTCTGCTCTGCCCTGGAGAGCCTGACATCTTATTACCCTCTGGTGCTGTCATGCTGCTTCCTTGGACTTTTCCACTTCAGCCGTGCTGACCCTTAAAATGTTCTGGCATTTTCTCACCTTTGTATTTGCCGTTCCTCTGATTCCACGTGGCTTCCTCTAAATATCTGCATGGTCTCGGTTCTGATGTTAACCTTCTTGGAGAAGCCTGCCCTGACCAGTGTGTTTAAAATGACCTTCCATGACAGTTCCTCAGGTCTTACTCCCCTTTCTGCTTCACCTTTTCTGTATAACATTTATGTCTACCTCATATGCCATATATTTTCTAACTACTTATTAGGAAAATGTCAAAAAATAATTGAAAGACCAAGGCCTATACTTACCACCTAGGTTAAACAATTATTAACACTATCTTATTTATTTATTGGATTAGGGCTTGAACTCAGGGCCTCACACTTGCAAAGTAGACACTCTACCACTTGAGCCGTACCTCCACTCCATTTTGGTTTGGTTATTTTTTTGGAGATGGGGGTCTTGCAAATTATTTACCTGGACTGGCCTCGAACTTCAATCCTACTAATCTCAGCCTCCCAAGTAGCTAGGATTCTTAGCATGAGCCATCGTTGCCCAGCCTATCATTTTTATTTTTGACTGATTCAGTTGAAATTAAGTTGCCCACGTCATGTTACTTTACACCTAAATCATTTCTCATGCGTTTCCTACAAGTAATGTTACCCTCTATACAATTATATCACAGTTATACTTTAGACAACAATCAATTCCCTAATGTTACCTGATATGTAGACTGTACTCCAAATTAACCTACTTATTCACAAAATGTTGCTCACAGCTGATTCTTTTTTTTTTCTTTTTAAACAAGGAATGGTTTAAAGCTCATATATGTTGTTTTTGGTTTATATGAGTTTTTTTTTTTTTGTAGTACTGGGGTTTGAACTCAGGCCCTCATGCTTAGTAGGCAGGCACTGTACCACTTGAGCCACATACCCCAGTCCTTTTTTGCTTCAGTTGGGGTAGGGCCTTGCATTTTTTCCTACACTGGCCTTGCACCACAATCCTGCCTATGGCGTCCTGCATAGCTAGGATTACATCACACTTAGTGGTTGAGATGGATCTTACTAGCTTTTTGCCTGGACTGGCCTTGACCCATGATCCTCCCAATCTTTGCCTCCTAAGTAGCTGTATTATAGGCATGAGCCACCACACTTGACCCTTTTTGGTTTCTTTTCATCCCTGAGAGTTCTCATATATATGTGTATATATACATAATTTTTTTTTTTGGCATTGACTTTTTCAAGAGATTGAGCTAGTCGTCTTGTTAACTATCCCCCATTCTAGATTTGTTTAAATGTTTCTTTGTGGTATCATTCAACTTACTCTTAAACCTCTTGTATTTCTTACAAATTAGAAGTTAGATCAAAGTGCTGATTAAATTTAGGTTAAACATCTTTGGCCAAAATATTTCCTGAATGATTCTAAGAATTTCATATTATATCACATCAGGGGATGTGTAAGTTTCCGGTTGTTTCATTTTTGGTGTGGCTGCATTTGTCTGTTTGGTTATTATGGTAACTGATAGGTCTTTCATTATAAAAGATTTTTTTTCCTTTGCAATTAGCAAATAATCTGTAGGTGGTTCTTTGGAACATTGTATATATTTTACCTATTATTGGTGTTTATTCTATCTTTCCACTAAACATGGAGGAGCTTGGATTAGAACCTAGCCTGTCAGACTATAGTCCATACCTTACCCTTGCTCGGCAACTGTTTCTCCCTTGTCTGGCATCATGGCTGGCAGGTGTCTATTGTCCTTTTAGTTTTTGAGCATATCAGAGGCAGCAACTTTGTCTTATCCACCTGCCCCCCCCCCCATTGCTGGGGATCAAACCTAGGGTATTGTACATTTTAAACAATGTATTATTTAAAATGGCTGTATTATACTGCCACTCCTGTCTTACCTTTATATCCTGTACAGTGCTTGACGTCACAATACCTCCCAAATGGGTATTTGTCCTATTACTTCTTCCCTGACTCCACCTATGAAACCCAAACTCTAGAGGGTCTAGTGTCATGTATTAGAATTGGAGATCTTATCAGGGAGTGTCTAGGGAGCCTCCATCCAGTGACAGACACCAATTCCCTTAGATATAGGAAATGTTCTGTTGAAGGTTTCTTAAACAAGTGTTTTGTTCCATCATTTCCAGCCACAATGAATAACTCCTCCTCAGAGACCCGGGGACACGCCCACGGGACCTCCTCGCCTTCAGAACGAGTGTTCTCAGTACCACTGCCCAGGAAGGCCCCTCTCAGTACTCCTGGCACCCCAGTCCTTGAAGACTTCCCTCAGAATGATGATGAAAAGGAGCGAATGCAGCGGAGGCGCTCCAGGGTCTTTGACCTGCAGTTCAGCACAGACTCGCCTCATCGGTTAGCCTCTCCCTCCAGCAGGTGAGTGTATTTCTGAGCTAGTTCTTTTTTGGGTGGCCACCTTGTAATGGGTTATGTGGGTCCTGGCATCTGCATAATACATCGTGAGTTCTGAGTGTAGGTTTTGATAAGTTATAGTATCATGGATCCTTACCAAAGTTTTTGTTTTTGCTTTTCATGTAGGAGTGTTGATGTGTCGGCTACCATCTCTAAGTTTACAAACACACAGATTACAGAGCATTACTCCACATGTATCAAACTGTCCACTGAAAATGTGAGTATTTGCTGGTTTATCATTGAAGAGTTTGTATCTTTTTTGTTTTTGAGAGGGTCTTGCTCTGTAGCTCTGGCTGGCCTTGAACTCAAGATCCTCCTGTCTTAGCCTCCTGAATGCTGTGTTTATAGGCACGAGCCACTGTGCTCGGCTCTGATCTTGCTTCTTGATCATGGAAAATTTAGCTTTCTTGATTCCATGGAGGATGCATGATAATTATTTTACTCTGCAGTGTTGCTTTGCTTTTTTTTTTTTCTTTTTTGGTGGTATGGTGTTTGAACTCAGGGCCTCACACTTGCTAGGCAGGTGCTCTACCACTTGAGACACTCACCAACCCTTTTTTGTGTTGGATATTTTCAAGATAGGGTCTTGGGTCTTGGGAATTATTTGCCTGGGCTGGCTTCGAATTGCAATCCTCCTGATCTCTGTCTCCTGAGTAGCTAGGATTACAGGCGTGAGCCACCAACATCCAGCTTCTGGTATTACTTCTTAATGCTGGTGTTTCTCAGTGTGGCTTACTATTTCTTGACCTTTGGTGTACCTCCTTACAAGTGGCCTTCTACCTGCAGTACACCTAGAGAGGCAGTGTGGACTCAGGGTAAATGGAGTGAATTCTGGAGCTATGGTAAGTTCTGGAGCTAGTCTAAGTTGGAGCCCTGTCTTTTCCACTTTTAAGCTTGGTGACTATGGCAAGTCACCCACTCCCCTGCTATAGGCTCCTCATCTGTAAAATGAGAAAGAGGGTAATACCTGCTTCATAGGGCTGGTCTGAGTCACTTTATGTACAGTGCTCAGATCAGGGCCTGTGCACAGTGAACACTCAGGAATTGTGTGTTCTCACCCTTTAGGCCTTGAGAAGGAGGAAATATACATGTGGATTTGGCTCTATTGCCTAGTATTTGTGGGAGTTGAGATCAGTGGTGACACTTGGGTATTCCTATATACAAATGTAGCCTCTTCTGTTTAGAGTAGTACTGTTTACATTGTCTAGGCTATAAATAACCTTTCTATAATTTCCTGTTTTCAGAAAATTACCACCAAGAATGCTTTTGGCTTGCACTTGATCGATTTTATGTCAGAGATTCTTAAACAGAAGGACACAGAACCAACTAACTTTAAAGTAAGAAGGATGTGTACTCTTATATCTGAATTAATGATTATTTCAAATGTTTAGTCTAATACAACTGAATTCTGCAAATACCTGAGAACCTTCTCAACTAGACATTGCCGTAGCTACTTTACTTTCTTTCCTCAACTGATGAAATGCAGAGAACACAAGTGTGTTTATTTCTCATCAGTCCTAGGAGTATTTTTAAAATTTTTTTCTTGGGCAAATAAATATTTTAATAAACTTGTTGAGTTTTGCCTGTTCAGAGTGCTTTTCTCTGCATCCTCATGAGTATAGCTTTGCTTGTTTGACTAGGTGGCTGCAGGCACCCTGGATGCCAGCACCAAGATTTATGCTGTACGTGTGGATGCCGTCCATGCTGATGTATACAGAGTACTTGGGGGGCTGGGCAAAGATGCACCATCTCCAGAAGTGGAGGGCCATGGTGCAGGTATGTGGAATCTGGATTTAAGGGGCTTCTTTTAGGTTATATCAGGTTATTATTTGAGTGACATACCTGAAGGAAGTCACAAAAAAATCAGTTATGTCATTTTATTGAAGGCATGGACATTTTCATATGTATGTGTGTGTGTGTGTGTGTGTGTGTGTGTGTATATATATATATATATATTTTTTTTTTTTTTTTTTTTTTTTTGCGGTACTGGGGCTTGAACTCAGGGCCATCACCTTGAGCCACTCCACCAGCCCTTTTTTGTGATGGGTTTTGCAAGATAGGGTCTTGCAAACTATTTGCTTGGGCTGGCTTTGAACCATGATTCTTCTGATCTCTGCCTCCTGAGTAGCTAGGATTATAGGTGTGAGCCTCTAGCATCTGGCAGAATATATGATTTTGCATGAGAAAATCACAGGGAAATCTAGCTTTTTAATTCTGTAGAGAATTTATGGTCAATGATAATTATTTTATCGGTCAGTACTGGAGATCAATCCCACAGCCTTGTGTGTGTTAGACAAGTGTTCTACCAGTTACCTCCCTAAGTTCCTTTTTTTTTTTTTTTTTAATTTCTTTTATTCACATGTGCATACAATGTTTGGGTCATTTCTCCCCCGACCCCCAACCCTCTCCGTTTCCCCCCACCCCCTTGCTTCCGAGCAGAAACTGTTTTGCCCTTATCTCTAATTTTGTTGAAGAGAGAGTATAAACATTAATAAGGAGACCAAGGGTTTTTGCTAGTTGAGGTAAGGATAGCTATACAGGGAGATTCCTCACATTGCTTTCCTATACATAATGTGTTACATTCTAAATTGATTATTCTCTAACTAACCTTTTGTCTAGTTCTTGGTCCCCTTCTCCTGTTGGCCTCTGTTGCTTTAAAGTTTCTGCATTAGTTTCTTTGCATTGAGGACATCAAACGCTATCTTGTTTTTTGGGTTTCTTACCTATCCTCATACCTCCCTTGTGTGCTCTCACCTTATCCTGTGATCAAAGTCCAGTCCCCTTGTTGTGTTTACCCTTGATCTAGAGTCTGCATATGAGGGAGAACATATGCTTTTTGGTCTTCTGGGTCTGGCTAACCTCACTCAGGATGATCTCCAGTTCCATCCATTTACTTGCAGATGATAAGATTTCATTCTTCTTCATGGCTGTGTAAAATTCCATTGTGTACAAATACCACATTTTCTTAATCCATTCGTCAGTAGTGGGCATCTTGGCTGTTTCCATAACTTGGCTATTGTGAATAATGCTGCAATTGTTTTTTTTTTTTTTTTTTTAAGTTGTATTTTGTTTTGAGGCAGAATCTTGCTAAGCTGCCCGTTGACCTTGAACTAGCTATGAAACTCAGGCTGATCTCAAATTTTTGGTCCTTCTGCCTTAGCCTCTCAAGTAGCTGGGATCACAGGCGTGTACCACCATGCCTAGCCCAGTGTCATTTGTTTTCTTTGTCTTTTTTTGGTGGTACTGGGGATTGAACTCAGGGCTTTATGCTAGTCTGTGTCTCTTCTTAATATAGTTAAGAAGGGGATGGCTCACCGCTGTAATCTTAGCTACTTTGGAGTCTGAGATTGAGAGAACCATGGTTTGAGGCCAGTCTAGGCAAATAGTTTGTGAGGCTCCCATCTTAAAAAAAATAACCAGAACAAGTCAGGCGTTGATGGCTCATGTCTGTAATCCTAGCTACTCAGGAGGCAGAGATCAGGAGGATTGCAGTTGGAAGCCAACCCAGGCATAGTTTGCAAGACCTTGTCTTGGGAAAAAAACTCATCACAAAAAAGGGCTGGTGGAGTGGCTTAAGGTGCAAAGGTGTAGGCCCTGAGTTCAAACCCCAGTACTGCAAAAAAAAAAAAAAAAAAGAAGTGTGGTTCAAGCCATAGACTGCCTGCTTTGCAAGCATGAAGCCTTGAATTCAAACTCTAGTCCCACCTAAAAAAAAAATGTTGGTGTTTCTCGGAATGATTTTATTGTTTCTTTCAGACCTTTGGTCCTCCTATTTACAGGTAACTTGCTTTTGACAATACTATTTTTCTTTCAAGAAGAGAAATGTATAAATGCTTTCAGTTTTTATTTAGGCAATGTTGAATAAACATTAACCAGGGGGCTTCTAATATGGGTATCTTTAGAATTTGACTTATGTTAGAAGCCAAATACTTAATCAAGTAATTCAGTTCTTCATAAATTGCAGATTAGATGTGTCTATTGCTTTGAGAGAAATCCATATGTTTAAATTATGACTGCTTCTTAGGGTTTTGAAGAACTTGAATTAGTAAATTCAGTCATATGCTTCTAAGAAGTCCTTGCAGTATACAGTCTTATTCCTTCTTTTAGATGGAAGTGCTACCGAAACAGGAACAACCAAAAAGGCTCCAAAGCCAAAGAAGAAGCATTCATACAAAACCATCGAACAGAATATAAATAACCTCAATGTCTCCGAAGCAGAGAGAAAGTGTGAGGTGAGGAAGTGTGTGCACATTGTGATCTCTGACTAATTCAGATCCTCAGGCGCCTTGCTGGTCTGTGCTTGTTCAAGCCTTAGGGAGTAAATTACTCAGTTAGTATTTCTGCATTATCATCCCTTAGGTTTATAATGAAGATGGTGGTATGTCCCTCAGTATTTCAGAATGAAATTACTGAGAAATTTGATCAATAAAATACTTAATTTTATTTACAAGTATGCAGCAGTGGTGATGATAGCTAATATTTTTTGTACATACACTGGGACTATAAGCTATATTGACTTGGGTAATTCCCACAACATCCTTGTTGCATTTAATAAAGAGGTAACTGAGACACAGAGCTATTAAGTAATATGCCCAAGATGATATATCTGGTGAGTGAGGTAGTATTTGAGGCTAAGTGGTCTCTAAAACAGCCTTAGTACTGGAGGCCTTGTTTATAATAAGCATAGTTAATTTAAAGCAAATGGTTTTGCTCCAGTTTTTTAAAATTATGTTATTAAAAACATTGCTTCAGGTTTGGGGTTGTAGCATACCATGTGTGAGACCCTGAGAGTATATCTATAAGACAGTTGTAAGAAATCCAATTTTGATTGGCCTCAAAAAAAAATGTTTGCACTCAATATATTCTTCCTTCTCTTACCCCAGTGGCATTCGTAACTGATAGTTAAGATCACAAGACTGGAACTGAGTGTATGTGGAAAAAGGACTGTGCTCTGGGCTACCATGGTCTTAGGAGTTCAGAAAGCTGATGAAAATCCAGTACGTAGGAAGAAAACAGGAATGTGGTGTCAAAATGAGAAAGTGTTTCATATTAGGGAGTGTGGGGGGGAATCCTCAACAAAGTCACGTGTGGAACCTGAGGCCACTGGGAAGCTTGAAGAGGGTCCTCTGGAGCTGACACTCAGACCTCTGAGGAAAGTGCTGCTTGGCTAGTGCTGATATCACTGAGTTTGGAGGAAGGGCTAGGGGCCAGGACTCAGACCTCTGAGTAGGGCATGCTGGCTGGCGCTGGTGTCTCTGAGGGCCACACAGTGAGGTTGGTGCTGTGAGTATGAAGAAAGCTGCAAACTGGACTTAGCTGCTGCTACAGCCAGGCGCTACTGTAGCTGAGGGTGAAGGAGCAGTGCTGGTGACACTCAGGTGAACTGGAAGTCTATAGAAAGACAAACCAGGAGTAAGTCCCTTTATTCTCCTCCAACCCTGCAGTCTCCCTTTATTGCCCCCTATTGGTAGATCCAAACAGAGAACTTCTGGGAAAGCCAAAATGCCCCAAACCTAGCAGGACAGAGCAAAGGAGAAAAGGCAGGTTGGAGCTGAGAGGCACTAACTTAATAACTGGCATATAGGTAAAATGTCATGAGATATGCATATACATATATATATATAGAGAGAGAGAGTGAGAATGTGTGTGAGTGTGTGTGTGTAAGTGTGAGTGTATGAGTGAGCAACCATGCAAAATGTTCTCCATTGGGGAATTTAGGTAGAAGTTATATGGGGGTTCAGATGACTATTCTTTGAACATCCTTGTAGGTTTGAAATTTATCATAATAAATGGGACAGCAAATGGGAGTAGAAGAATGAATACACTGAATATAGGTGGTTGTCTTGAAGAGTTTTGCTGCAAATTAGAGTAGAGGAGTGGGATGGCATATGGAAGGGAAAGTAAGGTTGAGAGTTTTGTTTTTACAAGGGAGAATTGCAGCGTATTTTGTTGATGACTACAGGCTAGTGGAGAAGGAATTGTTGCTGGTGCAGAAAAGAGAGGAGAGCTGGAGGACTGGAGAGGAAGCATCCACTGCAGAAACCTGCAGGGGAAGCACACCCTAGAGAGTTCATGTCTCAGCTGCAGCACTACCCTTCATCCTGTTTGCATTGCCTTTCCCGCTTCAGTGCCTCCCGGGACATTTTGTTAACTGTTCTTTCCCCTTGAAATTAAATATTAAGGAATAAGATTTTGTCAGGTAGGGTCAAGGTTTGGAGAGCCACAAATTATAATATCTATATTTTTCTGTCCCCACCAAACCAATTTTTACCTCTTGAGAGGGACTCCTCCCTCCCCCTGCCTGAGAATGCATGAGTTAGATCAGGTGGCAAGAACCTTCAGGTAATCTAAGGGAATCTTGCTGGTGACTAACTGGGTCTAGAGGACTCTGGGGGACACATCAGCCACTAGGGAGGAGTGGAAGATGAGGCCCTGAAGGAGAATGTCAGAACTGAATAGATTGTAGAGTCTGGGCAATGTACAATTCTTGAGTCTGAAGGCTTTTTGTGTGATTACTAAGCCGGATAAAGGTAATAATGAGATCAGTCCCAGTGGTCTCAAAGCTTATGGTGGTGGTGAGACTGAGTTGGTAGGCTAGTAGGGAGGTGGGGGGCTTACTGGGTTCATTCTGAGTGATGAGGTGGAGTTGGGTCCAAGCAGGTCTAGCCTAATCTGGGCTGACTGATAACTCCAGCCTGTGGGGGGTTGCTTGGCATGGGCAAGAGAAACCAGAGGTAAGGTTACCTAGAAGCCCATGCTGGGTACAGGAGGGAAGAGGCAGAGAGGCAGGTTCATGTGGGGGTGGGATGGGGTGGAGGTCTGTTATATTCTTTCCTGTTGCTTGCATCAGCATTGACTATGGTGATACCATGATGTGGAGGCAGGCAGTATAAAGTTCAGATCCTGGTTCCCTGTCTTAGCTGTGTGGGAGGTGATCTTAGGTGGAGGCATAAGGCGATGGTGCACATACATTCTGGCTCCTTTTAGGTTGCTGGAGAGTACAAGTTTGGCTAGAGCTAGGAGTTTACTTAGAAGTCATCCCTAAAACAATCCTGGACATTACCATATAGTCTTTTGCCTGCCCAGACCTTCTTTAACTATGATCCCGCCTTACTTTGGACCCTTGTCTCAAAGGGTTTCATCTACTCAATTACGCTGCCAGCAATAATTCATTTTTTCCATCCCATTACTCAGGGATATAACTCCAATCTGATTTATCTGAAAGAACCACTATTCTCATACTGATGATATAATTCTAGACAAAAGTGAGGAAATAGCCAGGTGTGGTAGTACACGCCTATAATCCCAACTAATTTGGAGGGAGAGATAGGAGGACTGAGGTCCAGGCAAAAAATTAGTGAGACTCTATCTCAAAAATCAAACTGAGGCTGGTGGCTTACCTCTGTAATACTAGCTATTTGGGAGGCTGAGATCAGGAAGATCATGGTTTGAGGCCAGCCTGGGCAAGTAGTTTGTGAGATGCCACCTCCAAAATAACCAGAGCAAAATGGACTGGAGACATAGCTCAAATGGTAGAGTGCTTGCTTTCCAAGCATGAAGGCCTGAGTTCAAACCCCAATGTCATCCCAAAAAGAAAAGAAACCAAGGTAGGCATTGTGGTTATACACCTGTAATCTCAGCTACTCTTGAGGCAGAGGTAGGAGTATCACGGTCCAAGGGCCACCCAGGCAAAAGTAAGGGAACTTATCTGAAAAAGAAAAAAAAAAAAACTAAAGCAGAAAGGGCTAGACGGGCTTTGTTTTACCTGAGTGCAAACCCCACTACTGCCAAAAAAAAAGGGTAAGAAGATTATCTTAGTGTTTTCAGTTTAATGTGGGTTAGTGTGCAGTTTCTGTGTTAATTCTGAAATGCTGCATTTGGTTCCATTACTTTCCGTACAAAACTTCTAGGTGTGAGGCTCCGCGTGGGAAAGCATCACTTTGATTAGCATTTGAGAAAGGGAACGGGAGAACACCACTAATGTTATTAGGATAGGAAGTGGGAAAGACCACAGGGTTGAATTGGTGGCACTGGGGATGCATTGGGAGAAAAACATGGAGCAGTTGTATAGCTGCCTGGGTGAGGATGGAGGAGATGGGAGGTGATAGATGTGCGACTGTGGTGAGATGGGTTCATGGGAAAAGCAAGAGCAGAACCTCAGTTCTGGTGAGTTGGGCTCAGAGCCAGAAGGGGTCTAGGGAGCTACATGTGTGTTGTGAGATCCAAGCTCCTCTCTCTCCGTGGCAGCCATGTCCCAGAGTACTAGGAAGACTTGGGAACCCAATACCCAACCTGATCTCCTGGTCTCCTGACTCCCCGTTGAGTCCCAAGTGAATTCTTTTTGCCACACATGTATGTGCCTTGCCCTAACCCTGAGCTTTTGCCCAGTGCTCTGTTCTGCCTTTGGGCTTAGTGTCATGTGGCTCTGCCACTCTTGCTCTTTGACCCAGCCTTGGGACCTTCTACATTCTCTGTCATTTACCCAGCCACCTAGCCCTATTGACTCTGCATGTCTTTTACCTAGATGTCTTGGTTGTGTTCATCAAAATCTTAGAAATATTTCTGTGCAGAGGAACAATAGAACCTTGTGACTAGCTTCTGCACATAGGCTTTTAAGGCAACATAACTCATCATAGCATTCTATTGCATTGGGTGTTTTACAGGTAGCCATTTAGAAACAGTGACTTGTGGAAGGAGTCACTGTCCAGGTGTATTGTAAATAAACAGATTGACAAAATACACTCTTCTTACTGTGTACTGTCTTGAATGGAATATGTTTATCCATCTGACCACATACTACCTTTCCTTTCAACTGGGATTTTATCTGATAGGTTAGAAAGCCTGTCCGCCCCCCCCCCCTTTTTTTTTTTTTTTTTGCAGTACTGGGGTTTGAACTCAGGGCCTATACCTTGAACCACTCCACCAGCCCCTTTTTTGAGAAGGGTTTTTTTCGAAATAGGGTCTCTCAAACTGTTTGCCCAGGCTGGCTTTGAACCGCAGTTCTCCTAATCTCTGCCTTCTGAGTAGCTAGAATTACAGTCATGAGCCACCAGTGCCTGGCTAAATCCTTCCCCTTTTGATTATGTGCAGAGGCATCTTAGTCTCATGTATACATTTGCAGGTGAGCAGAGGCCAGTGCATGAGTTTGTATTTTCTCTACTACCTACCATAATTCCTCGGTTCCCTCTGTTCTTATACTCAGGTTGATCCCATGTTTCAGAAAACTGCGGCCTCATTTGATGAGTGCAGCACAGCAGGGGTATTTCTCTCCACCCTCCACTGCCAGGACTATAGAAGTGAGCTGCTTTTTCCTTCCGATGTCCAGACCCTCTCCACCGGAGAACCTCTCAAGTTGCCAGATTTAGGTTGGGTAGAAATGTCGGATTTAAAAGGTAGGTACAACCATGTCTTTTACCAGAGCATTTCAGTCATCAGAGAAGCTTTGTTATAGCCGTGGGTATAATAGTTCACTGTGCTCTTATGTTGTTTTTTTTTTTTTAAAACAAGGTCACAGTATGTAGCACAGTCTGCCCTCAAACCCAAGATCCTTTGCCTGCGTCACCACCATAGCTTTATGTTGTTTTTTTAAATCACCCAAAGGTTCTTCTGGGATGTCAAATTGGTCATCCTTTTCACAGTGCCTAACAACCAACTCAAGTTTTTCTTCTCTGCAGTATGGAGTCTAAATAGTCAACCGTTGCTTCTTGGTGCCATGTACCTCAAGCACCTACTGTTGCAACCAGCTCTTGCAGTCATGGGCTCACAGTGACGTGGAAAATTGAGACTTGGGAAGGGAGCTGAATGGAGACTTCTGTCTAGCTGGAGAGGCCTTGCTCCCAGTCCAAAGGTTCCTGAGGAGAAGGGGGAATTAGCAATTGTTTTCAAACCCCTGTGGCAGTCCAAGAGTCCCCTATCCTATTGTCAGTTCTCTTACACTAGATTGGCAAAATTTAACACCCTTCCCATTCTCCCTCTTCACCCCAACCCAGGGGTCTTTTGAGGATGTCATGAGAGGAGCAGGCAGTGTGAAAGCCAGGTGTAGGCAGCATGATAGCTGCATGTGCCTATGATCGTCTTACCTGTTGAATAAATTTGATCTTCCCCCTCTGTAGGCAGGGCCAAGCAGATATTATGGCATCTATTCTCTCTTAAATTTTGCTCAATATTACTGTTTTGTGCAAACAATCTGTTTTCCATGTTTATGCCCTCCACTGGGACTGATCTCTGAGGTAGATCATCTGGAGTTAGTTTAGATTGGGACTAAAAATAAGTACCATTACATGATTGCTTATTTACTTAGTATGCCTTTAACAGGAAGGGTTTTTGTTTTCCCAACTATAGTGTAGGGCACAGACTTCATTTCAGAATCAAATGTCTGTGCCTCAGGTTTCCCCCACAGCATTTTACTAATCTTGGGAATGACAGTGTATAGCCTGACTCCAGTGTGGTGTGCACCTGTGCATTTGCTTGCTCCCCAAAAGCAGTCTGGCCCACATTGACTGGCAGCCTGCCAGCATTACTACTGTAGCTTTTGCTGGAGAACAGTGACATGATTGTGCCCCTCCACGTCATTCAGGAGGAATGTACTTGACCCACCTCTAATCTCTTTGTGATCTTGCTGTTCCTCCAGCACCCTTGCAGCAGTGTGTGGAAGATCGCCAGCTCTGCCCTTCCCTGGCTGGGTTCCAGTTTACTAAATGGGACAGTGAAACACATAATGAGGTGTGGTCAACTTTTGTACTTATAAGGGCTCTGGGCATTTCTCCAATGGTTTGTGGTTTCAGTTAGATGGCCCAGTATTAGTTCTGCCCAGTGGGAACCAAAACTGTGGCATCGTTTTTTATTTAGCCGAGTACAGAAAACATTTCCTTGGCACTTCTTTATGGATAAAAAGCCTGGCTGGGTCGAAGTAGGGTTGTGAACCCAAGCAGGACCATCATAAAGCAAATGGATTCTGGGATTAGCTTCATGTCCCCTCATTTGCTTCCCTAGGGCCAGGCTACCCTGCCATTCATGAGTGGATTTTGTCAGATATATTCTCAAATGTAGTTATTCCAGTGGCCTCTGGTCTCAGGCTGCTCTCAAGCTTGAAGCATTTCCTGGTGTTTGGGGTTGAGTCCCTTGGCACACTGTTTCCTGAGAAATTGTCATGTGTAAGGCCTTCTTTTGTATATTTTTAGCAGGGCCCCCTTTGGCCTACTTACTACAACTTCCAAAATAAATGGTCTCCATGGAAAACTATTTTTTCCAAACATGCAGTTAATGGATACAGATTCCTGTTTTATGTTTTACAGAATGTGCCTGGTACAATACAGCTTCATCCTGTGTTGCACAGTGTAAACTTCCTCAGTGCTTTACTCTCATGAGCGTGCTGGCCCTGGGAAGCAGGGGGTGAGAAGGGGTGGCACAGGGGAAAGAGAGACTGGAAACTGGAGAGTGAGCTTGAGGAGGTTGTTCTTCCAGGGGTGAGCTGGGGTGGCCAGAGGAATGAGGAGAGCTACAGAAGCCTGTTTTGTCCCTCCAGTCTGTGTCAGCCCTGGTAGACAAGTTTAAGAAGAATGATCAGGTATTTGACATTGACGCTGATGTTGAGAATGACTGCAGGGACTTTCCAGATGGGCCACTGGAGGATGACTTTGATGCCAGTGATGAACCAGACCACTCTGCAGCTGGGGATCATGAAGAGCTCCGGAGCTGGAAGGAGCCCTGCCAGTAAGGCTTTTAGGGTCCCAGAAAGTTTCCAGGGGTGTTTTCCATCTCTTCCAAACTGGTCTCCTCTGGGGTTATGTGATTACAGTCCTGGTTAGCTGGGTTGGTGTACCATGTTGTGTACATCAACTGAACCACATGACTTGCAGCAGAGTCATACCTGGCTTTGTATGTTGGCTGAACCACCTTGGTTACAAAACTGACAGTACAGGGACTTGTAAGGATTAGAACCATGTAAAGTGCTGGAAAAACTACCTAGGATCTTGTTTTTATTTCAGCGTGGCTATGGTAATGCATTTTTATATAGAGGGGGGAGCTCTCATCACACATGTGTGTATCCTGGCTTTGGGTCATCTCTCTGAGTGTCAGTGACAATCAGAAAAAGACCTGTATGTTCCTTTCAGAAAAAAGTGGTGCCTGCCTGAAAGCTAAGCAGATGGGCAGTTCTGGGTTACCAGATAGGCGACAAGGAAAACATGGAGAGCTAAATGAATAGAGTTGAGCATGTTTGAGGGAGAACAGAGAGAATTGGTCTTCAGTAATTTAAATTTTTGCTTAACTGAGTAAGTGTCATAACAAAAAACTCAGAACTTGGTTGGCATTCGTAGATTAGTATTGTTTTAATTCTGAGTATGATCTGGAAGCAATTTCACAACCCTTTGAAAGCAGTCAGCTCATCGCCTCCCTCTTCCTGCACCAGTGGGGGTGGGGCCAAGCATTTTCTAGCTGACCCTTGTATGTCATAGTGTGCGTTTAGAAGATGTTGGCCGTGGTTAAAGCATTAGTCAGAGACCAGCTTACTCTGTACTTGGCAAGAACGAAGCATTCTGGTGGGCTAACTGATGTGTTGGGAGCCAGCTGGGCAGAGACCTTTTCTTTTTTTGTTTTTATGGTGCTGGGGTTTGAACTCAGGGCCTTGTACTTGCTAAGCAGGTATTCTCCCACTTGAGCCACACCCTAGCCCCAAACTGATCATTTTTGTTTGGAGGGGCGGGGAGTTGTTCTGGGGTTTATACTTGGCCTCACACTTACTAAATAGGTGCTTTACCATTTAAACCACTCTGCCAGCCCTGGGCAGAGACTTGTAGCTTGCTGGTGTTAGTACAGTAGGATAGAACAGGGGATGAAGCAAAGGACGGGCCCTATGGTGTTAAAGAAAGGGGTAGAAGAGATAGATTCTCCTGTGAGGGTGGGGAGAGATGGTGCTGGAGAAAGTTGAAGGGGCAGACTGTAGTTTGAGTTAGTTGCTTAGTGGTGAAGTTGGGCCATAGGCTACCTGCTACATAGCAGGTATGTTGAAGATACTGGGTTCAGGAAGTCTGCAGGGACTTTGCACAGCCCTGGGCCAGGCTCATGGGAAGGGAGCCTCTTGATACCTTTGCCTGTAAATGCCCAACCTCTAAACAGTAGAATGTCCATGGGGATTCAAGGCATGTTCCTGGAGCCTTCTTTTTCTGGCTACAGTTCATGGTACAGTACACAGTACATCTATCACTTAATGCAGGCTAGGTATTAGGTTCTGTGGCCTCACAGGTCTCACAGACTAGAAAAAGAGTTTTTTTTAGTGTGTTTTAATTTTTGAAATTATTTTATGTTTTTTTGTTTTGTAGTACTAGGGTTTGAATTCATGGCCTCATGCTTGCTAGGCAGGTGGTGTACCGTTTGAGCTACTCTCCCAGCCCAAGTTTTTTAATTACATGATTAAAAACATAAATACAGTTTCATGGGGTTTTTGTTAGATTCTGTAGAGAAAGTCAAAGTTCCCCTTTTAAAGTTTTTTAGCTTACTCCATAGGGCTTGTTATAAAGAGAATTCATATGTATGGCTCAACGCAAATACTAAGACAGTCTCTGCCTGAAGGCTCCTAGCTACCTTTACCCTTAGAGGGCAGCACAGCCATGCTAACATGCTTCCTAGTGTAGCAGAGGCCGTCAGGAGAAATCTCACATAGATTCTTGTAGGAAGGCAAGAAACCAAACCTGCATGCTGAACAGGCCATTATACATATCACACAGCAGAGTGAAGCTGAGTGGCAGGTGATGAAGGGCCCCAGAGCATTCGGGAAGTTAACTGTGTACATCAGAACATCATTTCACTGTTAGTAAGAACTATATAGCAGTGCCTACTGGAGTCTTCTTTAATGGGAAGGTGGTAAAGAAAGAACAGAGGATTGGCAAAAAACCTTTTGTGTGAAGAGATTCTTAGAATTTTGTTGATTCCCAACTTTGGCATTTTATTAGCTGTGTAGTTTTATATAAAATCTTCAAAAAAGACTGGTAGAGTGGCTCAAATGGTAAGAGTATCTGCCTAGCAAGCACAAGGCCCTGAATTCAAACTCCAGTGCTGCCAAAAAAAAAATGAAAAAGAAAAATTTCAAAAAAAAAATTTCCCAGGAAGCCGGACATGGTTTTTCATAGCTGTAATCTCAGCTACAGGGGAGGTGAGATGGAGGATTGTGGTTCAAGGCCAGACTAGGTAAAACGTTTGTGAGACCCTATCTCAAAAACAAGCTGAGGCAGCCACAGTGGCTCACGTCTATAATCCTATCTACTTGGGAGGTGGAGACTGGGAGACTGTTCAGGACCAGCTTGAGCAACAAAGTTTGTGAGCTCCCATCTCAGTCAATAAAATCATGGCTTGTAGAATGACTGAAGTGGTAGACCCCCAGCCTGGCAAGCACAAGGCCCTTGAGTTCTAACTACAGTACTGCAAAAAAAAAAAAAAAAAAAAAAGAAACCAAGCCAGATGTGGTAGTGCATAGCTGTAAATCCAGCTACACACGAAGCAGAGGAGGTAGGTGGTAGAGATCCAAGACTACCTAGGCAAAAAGCTCAAGATCCTATCTGAAAAATAAACTAGCAATCAAGAGGCCCTGAGTTCAAATGCCAGTATTGCCAACAGTAATAAATATAGCAAAAAGAGCTGGGGCATAGCTCAAGAGGCAGGGTCCTGAGTTCAAATCCTAGTACCACCACCATCAAGCCAAAAAAGCAACTTAATTTCTCAGGAAGAAAAGCAATACACATATGCAAATCTCTTAATTTCTCTGTACCTCTCTGTTTCTTCTATCTCAGAGGTAGATTAGCATTTTAGGAAACATTTGAAACATCCAAAGAACTTGTATAGATATGAGAATTTGTTATAAAATTAAGAGAAGCAAAAGCAATGGAGAAGTAAAAGCTAAGGGATTGTTAATGGGGGATTTATACTGTACTTACTCTTAGAAATGCCACTCATTTGTGGAAGAGTGGGTAGGTAACATCTCCAATGACATCATAGGCTTCTTTGCATGTAAATACATAATTGTATTATATGTTGTATATGTGAACAAAGATTTCATGTGCATTACAGGAAAGAAATGATTTCTCTTGGGGATGGAGACATTGGGACCATGTGCCCCCTTCTGTCCATGAAACCTGGAGAATATTCCTATTTCAGTCCCCGGACCATGAAGATGTGGGCTGGCCCAGATCACTGGCACTTTAGGCCTCAACAGAAGCGTATGTACTTGTAGATAGAACTTTAAGACAAAGTAGTGTAGATGACCAGCCAGTCAGCAGTCAGCCAAGGAAAGGAAATGCCAGTTGGTGACCTTTTGCACCTTTTTGTGAACTGAGGAGGCACAGATGAGCCAGCCTCCATGTTGGACAGTAGTTGGCCTGGCTTGAGATAAAGGGTCAGTTAAGAGTAAGTAACTAGGGTCAGGAGAATGGGGCTCATGAACTCACACTGCTTCCTAGTAGCAGCATGACTTCAAACAGTGGGAATGACCACCAGGCCCTAGAGGACATACAGGAATAACAACAAGGCAGCACTCTGCAGTATCTCCGAAGGGTATGCCAACCTTACGTGTTTGGCTTTCTGACTTGCAAAGGAAGGACTTAGAACACTTCTCTATTGTTTCTGTTAGCCAAAACAGAAATGGCAGGTTGAGGATGAAAGTGAGGTGTGTGATTTAGAATTCTGCCAACTGTTGAGATGCTCAGCTGCAAATACTACCTTGTGGTTGATGAGGCTGTCTAGATCTTGTGAGATGAGGAAATAATTTAGCTCTCAGAGTTGAACGGCTTTGTCTTCTTTGTTCATTTCTGCAGAAGATGCTACCTCCCAATCAGAGAACAAGAAGAAGAGTGCAAAGAAAGACTTTGAAATTAACTTTGATGATGATATTGACTTTGATGTATATTTTCAGAAAACAAAGGTTTGTTTTGGGTTTATTAGCCTCTGCTTTTTAAAATTACTCTTTGCATTTCTCTTTTTCTTTTAGATGGGATTTTGAAAATTCATTGTAAATTTAATTGATGGACTAAGTGGACAGTCTTATTCTCGTTCATTCCCTAAAGGGACCGCTGAGAAATAGTCCTAAACTCAATAGCAGGAAAAATCAAATTACAATAAAGGAGCATAATGTCTAGCAAAATCACATTACACAGAACCATGGGGTCTCCGATGATAGATGAAGGCTCCTGAAACCTTTCCTAAGCGCCTTTCAAAAACAAACAAAAGGTATTTTAACCATTGTTACTAAAAATGTTATTAAAAACTTTTTTTTTTTTTAAATAGGCTGCTACTGTTCTCACTAAGTCTACTTTGGAGAGCCAGAATTGGAGAGCCACCACTCTTCCTACAGATTTCCACTATGAGATCGATACTCTTGTAGAGCTTCATCTCAAACCAGGCTTAAGGGTAATTCTGTCCTTCTCATACTGCTCTTGTTATCAAGTTGATGGCATGTGCCATATCAATGACTGGTAGTATGCAGAACAGATTATGAAAAGCCTATAAGAACTGGACACAAGCAAGGTGAGATGAGGCTTAATTGCTTTTACCTGTAGGTTGAGATAGGCACAGCCCCAGCCATGAAACAGAAAAAGCAGAACAGCTGCACCTCCTAAGCTTGGCTTCAGAGAAGCAGGAACGCAGGTTTCTCCTGTTACAATGTCACGACCCTCCCCAGAGCCTCTGCTCCACCCTGTTTGCTGATGTTTATAAAAGGCCCCTGAAGGAGGGCTTGGGGTTTTGCTTTTTGCCTTTGGCTTTTGCTTTGGAGGGTTTTTTGGGCTTTGGCTTGGTTCTTTTGCTTTGGGCTTTTTGGTGTTGGGAAGCTTTTGGAAGGGAAAAGAATTACTGAAGGGAAAAGAATTGCTAAAGGGAAGTTGCTGAAGGGAAAAGTATGGCTAAAGAGAGGTTGATAGAAAGTCTGCACCGAGAACTTTAACATAGGCCTTAGAAAACTAAGCCAAAGAAAGAATTTTAACATAGCCTTTAGAAGCTAAAGAAAAGCCAAAGAGAACATGGGACAGTGCAAGACAGAGGACCGAGACTTTGCAAGTCTGAGCACTGAGGCTTTAAGAAAGCTAAAGAGAGAATGCTAAAGAAAAGCTGCAAGCCTGGGGGCAAAAGACTTTCTTGGGACAGTGCAAGTCTCAGGAAAGAGGTTTTAAGCAAAGTTTTAAAGAAGACTTTAGAAGGAAGGTTTTAAAAAATTGCAAGGAGTAAGGCCTTAAAGAATAAAAATAGAGAAAAGAAGCAGTGAGGGTTGGGTGTCTCCACCTGAGTGCCCAACACACCTGACCCAACTTTCTATCTGTCTGTCTATCCTATGTCTTTTGTGAATCTCCAGTCGCCCCCAGTTAAGCCCGGTTAGGTTTAGTAATAACCAGGAGCAAGAGAGATAAAGCTCGCTCCAACAAGGAAGGGAGCTAGAAAACAGCACCCCCTCCATGGTAGTGTGATTGTCAGGCAGCACCTTTAAAGAGAGTTCAAGGAGGGATATATATTAACCAAGGGAGATCTCTTAGGAGATCAGATGGATGAGGCAAAGATAAAGGAGAAGTTTATAGGATAAATATACCAAAGACTTGGAAGCACCTTCCCTGGGCTTGAGTGCTAGAAGCTCGGTGCTAAAACCCAAGGGGTAAGTGAATTTAGTTGAGGTGAGGTATCAAAAAAAAATCTTAGTTCTTTCCTCCTCCTCTTCCTTTTTTTTTGGGCAGTGCAGTGCTGGACATCAAACCCAGGGACTTATGCACACTAGGCAAATGCTCTGTATCTGAGATTACATTCCCAGCTCTGTTGTCCTACTCTTGTGATGTTATTTTGCCTATTTTGTCAATTTCTTAAGGATAAGGTATATGTTTCCTTGAATTCACTGATATCTCACATTCTGTTTTTGTAAACTTAACTGATAATATTTTTCTTTCTAGTCAGTATCCTTCACTTAACAGAAATGCTCTGACAAACACAGAAGCAGTAGTGGAAGTTATAGCTATGGTCAACATTGGTTGGGTCCCAGTAGGAACCTGCTCTGGTCAGATTACACAGAGAAGCCTGCAGGAGAATAGCAGAGCAAGGAAGGGGGTAGCACGCTTTCTGCAACCCTTGCTGCTGTATAGTAAAGCCTCTTGGTAGAATTTCCTGTAAGAATTGCTGTCTGTGGCCACAAGCTATCCTCCCTCCAGCCCTTATTTTGAATCTTTTACTAATGTAACTGACTATGTTAGTCACTTTTTTGTTGCTGTGACAAATACCTGAGAGAAACAATTTAAAAGAAAAACGGATTTATTTGGGCTCATGATATCAGAAGCTACAGTCCATGGCCGACTGGCCGCATTGTTTCTGGGCCTTTCGTGAGACAACATCACAATGGAAGAACAGAGTGGAACATTGCTGCTTATCTCACGGTGGCCAGGAAACAGAGAGGGGGAGACAGAAAAGAGCCAGGGTAAGATATACCCTTCACAGGCACTCTGCAGTGACATATTTCCTCCAACGAGACCCACCTTGTATAGTCCTACTATTTCCCAATAGTCTATTCAAATTTTGAGTCCATTAAGGGATCAAACCATTCATAAGTCAGAGCTCTCATGATCTGATTGTCTCTGGAAGTGCTCTTACAGACACCAAGAGGGATGCTTTACTTATCTTATGGGTGGCTTCTTTTTTTCTTCCTTTTTTATTTATTTTTATTTGTTGTAGTAGGGGGACATTGTGACGTTTACAAGAGTTCTTACAATATATCACTTGACTTCACCCCCTCCGTCATTCTTTGTTTCCCCCTCCCCTACTCTTTATTTCACCTTCCCCCATCCCTGGATTAGTTTCAGCAGGTCTCGTTTTCCATTTACACGTGTACACAGTATTTCCACCACACCACACCCCCTCCCCCACCTTTCCCTGTATCCTTCCCTCTCCACTGGTGCCACCAGACAGGGCTGCTTTGCCCTTTTGTTCTCTGTTTTTCTTTATAAAGATAGCTATACAGGGTTCTCACTGTGACATTCCCATGTATGTGTGTATTACAACCTGAATTGCTTTATCCTCTCTGTTTTTCTTCTTTCTGTCTTACTCCCCTTATGGTGATTTCAACAAGTGTAAAAATTCTGTGTTCATTCTTGTATAGGAAGTACACCAACCATACTCACCTTCTGAACTTCCTCCTTTACCCTCCCTGTCTCGTATGTGTCCTCCCCTTAGCATGACTTGTTTTTCATAATATTCCTTATATTTGTATAAGTCTGTATTATATTTGTATTGGGTCTGTATTCCACATGTGAGAGAAAACATGGGGCCTTTGGCCTTCTGAACCTGGCTAACTTCACTTAAGATGATGTTCTCCAGATCTGTCCATTTACCTGCAAACAACAAAATTTCACTCTTTATGGCTAAATAAAATTCCATTGCATATAAATACCACATTTTCTTAATCCATTCATCAGTAGTGGGACATCTTGGCTGTTTCCATAGCTTAGCTATTGTGAATAGTGCTGCAAGAAACATGGGTGTACAGGTGTCCTATCAAGTTGACAATCAAGATCTACCATCACAGTGGCCTAGGTATTAATTTCCATATTCAAAATTGAAAGTGGTGGTGCCTGGTGTTTTTGTTTCTGTGTGTGTGTGTGTGTGTGTATGTGTGTGTTTTTCCCATAGCTGTTTGTTATAGAGAAAAGAACTTGTGTTCCTGCTTATCCTCAGGAATAATTTCCCTGTTTGAGGCAGGACAGCCAGGCAGCAGGAGCTGGAAAGCCCTCATCCTTCCCACAGAGTCACACCAGGAAAAGGACTAGTAAACACTATAAGTTTGGCTAGGGACAAGTTAGCATATGCCCACACTACTTGGGGGAGTGTTCTAAATGGCGAGGAACTTGACAAATAGTAGAAAAACGTTGAGAAGCACCTGTTTTTTAACTCAGATATTTGTTTAATATTTTTGGATTTGTATTATAAAAGCACTGTGAGTTTAGGGGAGTTAGTTTTGAATTAAAATAGTCAAGGTAGTCTTGTAAAGTGAGCCATACTTCTGACTGCATTTCCCCCACCTCAGAGACACACATCCAGATACAAATCACTGGTATAAAACCTGCAAATATTTGAAGGATTATGGTCACCAAGTATTCCCAAAAGAGGAAGCATAGTTCTGTGATGCCCTACATCTACAATACAAAATGAGGGCCCATGGAAGTAATTAGGATGCTACTATTGCTACTTAGGGAATAATGCTTGCCCCACCTTCCCACCTCAGGAATGAAACAGGCTGTTTGTAATGGTAATGGGTTTTTTATCAGAATTGTTCAAGTGCAAGAAGTTGATTTTAAGAAAGTTATAGAAGGGGTTTCCAACTTTTGTTTTTAGTGAAGAACCCTTTTGTTCTCCTCCCCCAAATAAAACTATTTAGAAGACACAATTGCAAATCAGAAGTGGAGCTGTTCTGGTTGATTTGGTATGAGTGGAGGCTCTGAGCCCTGCTGCCCTGGGTTTGCTCTGTGCAATTGAGAGTTGGCTGGACTAAATAACCTGTCAGAGAGAGTCCTTCTAGCTCTAACGTCAGGTAATGCTGGGAGGAGATTGAGCAAAAAAACCAAGCTATATTTTTTTTTCCCTCCAAACTCATTCACATGCTTTTCTAGAAATTGCTTTTTGCATTTGTTCTTTCCTTTATTCTAGTTTCTTAAGATGGCCCAAGGCCAGAAAGCAGAGACTGAGCATTATGAAGAAATTGAAGACTATGACTACAACAACCCTAATGACACCTCCAATTTTTGCCCTGGACTACAGGTAAAGAGAAGAGTCTTGTCATCTCTTCTAAGTGGAGGATGTCTTTATCCCTGCTTCCTGTCTTCCTTTCCATATGGCAGAAAACTCTAGGAATTCTGAGCCTGATGGGGGTTTTCTGGATGCATAGTCTGTAGAGCTGAAAAAACAGCTTAGTTGGGGCCTGCCTTACTTCTACCCTGTATACAGAAGTGATGGATACTTTCTGGGAAATGAGTCAGTATATGGATGGAGTCTTTAACCTGTACTTCACAGCATCAGTCTTGTCTACTTTGGGATTTCAGAGGAATATGAAAGGAATGCACTTTCTGCTCTTGGGAGCTAGTATTTTGGTTGGGAGGCAAACACAAAGACGTGTGAAGGTGATGTGGTCTAGGTGATGGGGGCAAAAAAAGTCTTTAGAGCCGTGTGCCAGTGGCTCACGTCTATAATCCTGGCTACTCAGGAGGCAGAGATCAGGAGGATCGTGGTTCAAAGCCAGCCTAGGCAAATAGTTTGTGAGACCCTGTCTCGAAAAAACCCTTCACAAGAAAAAAGGGCTAGTGGAGTGGCTTAAGGTGAAGGCCCTAAGTTCAAGCCCCAGTACCACAAAAAAAAAAAAAGCCTTCAGATATATCTCAGGAGACTAAGCTTCTAACTTAGTTCTGACATGGTGAGCTTGTTGTGAACTTGTACAAGCCAAGTCCCATATTTAGATCTTGGTTTGGATTAAATAATTTCCATTTCTCCTTAGTGAGTCTACTAAAGAGACAGCAAATATAAGTAACAGAAAGGAATCTAGGCCTCCTGTGCCCCTGTAGGTGGGGAGAGGGAAAAGAACTGGAAGAATAATTTGTTCACCTTATTCTTTTTTACTTGGAGGAGAGGTAGGCTATTATATTTTAGTGAAAATCCAGTCTGGGTTTTCTTGACAAGTACTCCTCAAACTTTAGTGTGCATAACAATCACCCAAAAAGTCTTGTCAAAAAGCTGAGTCCTCCCCACCCACACCTATCCTGGCCCAAGATTCTGATCCATTCACTCTAGGCTTGGTTCTGAGAATGACTTTCTCACCAGCTCCTAGACAGTACCCCTGCTGCCAACTAGATGACTTCTGGAATCTCCTGTGCTTTTTGGGGGGACTAGGGATCAAACTCAGGATCTCACACTATGCATGTGTTCTACCACTGAGTTACATCCCCTGCCCTTCTACTGTGCTCTTTTTGGGTAAGGGATGCAGGTCATGTCTCTAGTATTCAGGAATACTTTCTATTAAATGTCTAGAAGGCAAATGGAACACTGTCCATTTTGATTATTGAATTCCTTTTAACTTCTGCCTTAGAGGTCTTAGGTTGATAACAGATACATGCCCCTAGTAGAGTTTATGTAGAACAGGAAGAAAGAAGAAACCCATCCTGGTGTGACTCACTTAATGCTCTCTGATGCTCTGTACACTTGGAGTCTGTTTTAAGGATGTTTCTAAGACCCAGTGACAATTTCTATTGACTTTAAGAGCTATTTCTTTGCCCAGGCTGCTGACAGTGATTATGAAGAGTCGGACAATTTATTTGTGGGACCAGTTGAAACCTTTGATCTCACATCTGATCCTTGCCATTCACCTAAGACAGCACAGGAAAATGGTGACACTCCTGAAAACCAAGAAACAGATATTACAACATATGGGGAGTCAAACCTGGTAGCTGAACCTCATAAGGTAAGGATGAAGCAGTTGAACTTATAATGCCTGAAATCTGTTTAATTTGCTTACTATATGAGAGTCATGTCACCCCTAGCTCTATCTTTTTTCTTTTTCAGTTTTAACCTGTTGTTCTCCAAGTGACTATGTTTTAAATAGAGTTATGAGGAGTAAGCTGATGCTAATTAGGTTTGTGTGAAACTGACTTCTCTCCGAGATCGTTTTTAAAAACTTATGTTTTAGGTGGAATAGGGGTTAAAAGAGAATAGTGGAGGGGTGGATTTAACTACGATATATTTGATATGTTGTAAGAACTTTTGTAAATGCCACAGTGTAACCCCACCCAGCACAACAATAAAAATAAATAAATAAACAAATACATAAATATAAAGCTTTTTTTAATTATTATTTTTATTTTTACAGTGCTAGGGATTGAACCAGGGCCCTCATGTGGACTAGACAAGGTCTGTACCACTGAGCTACACCCCCAGCTCCTAAGATCTTTGTAATTTAGCTGGGGGTGAACTGGTCACCCAAAGCATGTTAATGAAGGCTGCGTGCTTCATTCATAGGTTTATATGTTAATTCAGTGAGGCTAGCTATGTGACCCTGAAAAATCTTGGACAGTTCAGTTCATATTAAATTATGCATTAAATGTTTATATTCCATTACAGTTGGCAGTCTTGGTGCCATTACTCTTTGATCCACTTAGATCTTACACTGGAATTCTAGGTTAGCCTTAGTGTACATTACTCCTGATCAGAAAGAAATTGGAAGGTTGGTGGAATGGCTCAGGTGGTAGAGCACCTGCCTATCAGGTTCAAACCTCAGTACTGCAAAAAAAAAAAAAAAAAAGAGAAGAGAAGGAGGGGAAGGGCAGAAAGATAAAAAGATTGGAAATCACAGCACATGGAAGGCTGAAGCAGGGAGATTGAGAGTTCAAGGCTAGTCTGGGCTACATAGTGAGTTTTAGGTTAGCTTGAGATATCTAAGGAGACTGTGGCCCATCCTCCCCCACCTTACCCCCCCCCAAAAAAAAAAAAAAAAAAGGTTTCATGAGGGATTCCATCTTAGGATATCCAAAGGAAGCTCTGTAACTCCTTGGTTGAAACTGGATTCCTTCTTTATCCCAACTCCAGACTTTTGTTTTTACAGCGAATTTATGGTAAATATTTTTCTTCTGCTTAGTTTTACTTTGTCTTGTGCCTATTTCAGGTAAATAAAATTGAAATTCATTATGCCAAAACTGCCAAAAAGATGGACATGAAGAAGTTGAAGCAGAGTATGTGGAGTTTGCTGACAGAGTTCTCCAAAAAAGACCCAGGTGCAGAGGTAGGTAACAGTGCCCAGTATATGGCAGAGAGACTGATGCCTGTGGTCACCAATGCCTCAATGTGGTCTCTGTCCCCAAAGTAGAGAGACCGATTAAGAACACAAAGAAGACTTCTCACCTATAAGTGAAACGAACCTAATGGAGGAGTGGGCAGGTCACATGAAGGGGGACACAGGAGGCAAACTAGTGCCTAGCACATGATGAAGCCTTGCTGGTGATGAAAATCTACAAGTGAAAGCATCTCTGTGCCGCTTTAAAACATAGCAGTGTAGCAACTAAATAATGTTTTCCAGTATTGAACTGAGGAAAATTTGGAATACCATCCAACTTACTGATCATAGTAATTTAAGTTGGAATATGAATTTTTTGGAAAGTAATTATTAATTACATCTGAAGTGCCATAAAATGTTTAAACCCTTTGATCTAATAGTTCTGATTTAAGATATGTATTCTCAGTAGGAAAGTAGTGGAAACAATTCTCCTGTCATATTCTCCCTCCTTGAGAATGAGATGAGACCTTGATTAACTGTCCAGTTCGATGGAATGCTCACTTAACTAAATCTTTTCCTCCTCTGAGCCCTTCCTGCTCAGGGAGTATTCTGAGCTCTACAACTTGACCCACTCTTACACCTTCTGCTGTTTCAGTAGTGAAAATTCATGACTTGATTTAAGGACCGTAAACTGTGAAGTCTTAGATATAGCAGAAAAAATAATAGTATTAGTCATCATGTTACTCGGCATTCTGTTACTGTAACAAATACGTAAGATAGTGAACTTACAGAAAGATAAGGTTTATTTTGACTCTCATTTTCAGTCCACGATGGGTTGGCCCCATCATGACAGAAGTACATGGTAGAGCCAAATCACTCACCTCACGGCTGGAATGTGAAAGAGAGAAAGACTAAGTCACTGGGGTCCCAGAATGCTCTTCAAAGGCACACCCCCGACAGCCTGAAGGCCTCTCACTAGGATCCAGCTCTTAAAGTTCTCCCAATAGCCCGAAACTGGGGACTAGTTCTTTAACACATGAATCTTTAGGGGACATTTAAGATCCAAATTAAATTATAGCAGTCATATCCATAAGGTTTTGTCAGGTGAAACAGAATGAGATGCAAGTGTAACAAAAATGTGTTTTGTAAAAAAGAGGGAGCTGTGCCAGATGCCAGTGGCTCATGCCTGTAATCCTAGTTACTTGGGAGTCTGAGATTGGGAGGATCAAGGTTCAAGGCCAGCCTAGGCAAATAGATTGTTAGATCCTTTCTCCAAAATAACCAGAGCAAAATGGACTGGAAGTGTGGTTCAAGCAGTAGAGTGTCTGCTTTGCAAGCACAAAGTCCTGAGTTCAAACCCTGGTCCTACCTAAAAATATAAATAGATAAACAAAAAGGGAGGAGCTAGTTGTGGTAGCGCACACATGTAATCCTGGCACTCAGGCTCAGGCAGGTGGATCACGAGTTGGAGGCCAGCATGGGCTACATAGTGAAACCCTGTCTCAAAAACAAACCAAACCAAAAAAAGCTGGGATGGGTAGGGTTCTGCTTAACTTATTTATCTGTCTATCTATCTATCTATCAATATATCTATATATCTATTTATTTATTTGAGACAAGTTCTCTTTCAAATATGAACTAGCTTTACATGTCAAACCTGTAGATACGCTTCTTCTGTTAGGCAGACCACAGTGAAAATGGAAAACAAGTGGCCCCAGAAGAGGCAGCTGATGAGAAGATGCTCAGCGCACTCACAAAGGACCTGCAGAAGAGGTATGTGCTGACAAACTTGGGGCAGGCGGGAGGGCACACTGTCCTGTGTGCCCTGGCCAGGAGTTTTTAGTGGGGTGATTAACATTAATGGACCTGCTGTATGTGGCTTGTTTTATATAAGTAACATTGGTACATTGATAGCTAGCAATTTCTCTATTTCCTCTTCACATGATAAGTGATTTTTAAGAAGCACTTCTAATTCAAGAGTGGTGGTACATACCTATAATTCCAGCACTAGGGAGGCTGAGGTAGGAGGACTGTGAATTTGAGGCCAGCCTGGACTATATATATACATACATGTAAAGACCCTACCTCAAAATGGCAAAACAAAAAAATTACTTCTCTCTGTTCCAGTGGCTGGAATGGAATAAGAGTTTTGTTATTTCCAATTATAAAACTGGGAAAACCAGTTTTTAAAATGCATCTGAAATATCTCTTTGTTTCTCATTAGTTTAGTTGTTATATTTGTGCATTATTCAAACTTGTTGAAAGAGTCTTTGTTCAAATTGCAGTGACCTACTCAATACTTGCCTCTTTGTTTTCAGCCTGCCACCGCTCATGGCTCAGAACCTCTCTATACCTCTGGCTTTTGCCTGTCTCCTGCATTTAGCTAATGAAAAGGTAGGTCATCGGGTAAATGTGGGAATGATTGAATATGCCCCATTCCTGTCAACTCATTGGAGCTTTTTATCAGATCTTCCATGGGCTACCATGCTGTTCATACACAGCAAACAGTGGAAATGTTTCAAGTGAAAATGACCTATAGAATATCTTAAATACAGTGACTTAGTCCTGCTTGGTGGCACATGCCTGTCATCCTGGCACTCAGGAGACCAAGACAGGAGGATCATAAGTTTGAGGTCAGCATAGCCTATATTGTGAGACCCTGTCTGAAAAAACCAACTGAACAAACAAAAACGTGGGTCACATGGCAGATGAGAGAGGAGAGAGGTAAGGATGGCAGGAAAACCACTGCAGGAAGAGGGAGCAGTAAATGTGGAGGCAACAGCCAGGAAAGTGGAGCTGCTGAGTACAGAAAGGAAAGTCTTGGGAAGAGGGCTGTGTGTCACAAGAAGGGTTCCGAGGGGCCTGTTGGGTCTCACTGTGGCAAGTTCCTGGTTTTGCCACAGCTGAGCAACTGGGGAGTTACTGAAAAAGCAAACAGGGTCCCATTGTCTCAGGATCCTGCCCGAGACAGTGTCCACCAGGGCACTGCAGTGAGGGCAGCCGGCCCTTGTTTGGGTACATTTGGGCACTGCTGGGCATCTGATAGTGAGTGGTGTCTCTAGCCAGCTGGTCCACAGCATGGACTTTGGCATTTGCAGTAGAGGACTGGACTGGGCTATCTTGGCATGTGGGTGACACCACCCCTCGTGGGGTGCCATGGCCACCATTGTGCTTCAACATAAATTTTTTGCTGTTGTCTGGCCAGAATTATGGAACTGTTATAAGCAAAACCGATTAAAACTACAACATCCATGTGAGTGTTAAAACAACTTTTATAACAGTTCTTATATGTGACTAAGGTAGCTTTTTCTTTAAATAACAAGTTCAAATGCAGGTACTCTAACAAAAATATAAGACTAAGAGTGAGGCAGAATGATCTCTCTAGGTCAGTCAGCTCATGTCACTGCCTTCCTTCAAACCTTACCACGGCTTCCCACCAATGAAAACCCAAACACTTTACCGTGGCATTCAAAGTTAATATGACATGGCCTTTGCCACTCTTGTCTTTCCCTTCTGTCACTTACCCAGCTGCTCACTTGCTGAGATGCAGTGTTCTGGAATATGACAACTCATCCCAACTTCATATAATGGGTTTCATTATGACATTTTCATACATGTATATAATGTATTTGATAATAGTCACTCTTCCCTACTCCCCCATTACCCTTTCTTCTCTCCAGTCCTGCTGGTCCCCTTCCTCTTACCAAATAATCTCCCTCCTACTTTTATGTCATTTTTAAAAATCTAGATTCCTGGAGCTAGGGATGTACCTCAGTGGTTAAGTATGCATGAGGCCCTGGGTCCAATCTCCAGTACCACTAAGAACAGAAAGGACAATAGATAGATAGATAGATTGATAGATTGATTGATTCCTCACATGAAAGAAAACATTTTCTTTCTGAGTCTGGTTTGTTTCACTTAACATGATGAGCTCCAGTACCATCCATTTTCCTGTAGTGACATAATCTCATTCTTATTCTAAGGTCTCTCAGAGCTCAGGGTACTCTGAGACCACCTGGCATCCATAGGGCAGATGAGACAGAGTCACAGACAGCACACAGTATTGCTCTAGTCTGGTCACAGCACTCAAAAAGGAAAGCCTCTTTTGGCTCTTCAGGGTCTTTTGTGCTTTTGTATAAATTTTAGTATGTATTTTTTCTATTTCTGTGAAAAATTGAAGCTTTGAGGGGGATACATTGAATCTATAGATCACTTTTGATAGTATAGCCATTTTCACAATATTGATTCTGTCCATCCATGAACACAGGAGGTCTTTCCATTTTCTAGTGTCTTCTTCGATTTCTTTCTTTGGTGTTTTATAGTTTTCATTATAGAAGTCTTTCACATCCTTGGGTAGGTTTATTCTTAGATAGTTTTTGGGGGAAAATTATTGTGAATGAGATTATTCTTCCTGATTTTTTTTTTTCAACATGTTCATTTTTGGTATATAGGAAAGTTACTGACTTCTGTATGGTGATTGATTGACTAATTGGTTGGTTGATTGATTTTTGAATTATTGGGGTTTGAACTAAGGCCTCATGCTTTCTAGGCAAGTGCTTTACAACTTGAGCCATGCCCCCAGTCCTGTATGTTCATTTTGTATACTGCTACTTTCCTGAAACTATTTATCAAATCTGGGTTTTCTGGTAGAGTCTTTAGGCTCTTTTAAGAATAGTATCATAGTCTGCAAATAGAGATAATTTGACATCTTCCTTTGCTATTTGTATCCCTTTTATTTCTTTTCTTGCCTTATTGCTGTGGCTAAGAATTCAGCATTATATTGAATAAGAGTGGAGAAATCCACCAGCGTAGACTGTAACCACTCTCTAGAACAGGAACTTGGCCCCGTGAGAGTGGTGGGCACAGGTGCATGGTAATGTTTAAGCACTGAAGTATGCTTTGGGACGGTTGATTAGATTTTAATGGACTGGTAGCAAAGGCAGGATGCAGGTGAAAATGCCCAAGATTTCCTGCACACTAGCTTGTGACCTATGGCTTAATAAAGTCGGGAGCAGTGACGATTAGTTCCATTTCCCAGGTCCAATTCTTCTTTGGCGAGAGGCTCCCCTAGGAGCAGGAAGGCCTGTGCAGTAAAGATGGCCCTACCATTAGGAGTTTTTCCTCTTGCCAATCCCTATGCAGAAACCTGCCTTTTCCCTGTGAGAAAGCAGCTTTGTGGCCCTCACTTGGTTCCCAAATAGACTGGGGCCAGGTCAGCACCTAAGGAGCCTTGTCGATTCCAGGCTTCACCGAGGTCTGCACTGCTCTGGCTCCAGCTCTGTTCCTCTTCTCACAATGACAGTACAGGCTTTGTTCATTTTGCTGGGATCAAGTCTCACCTTAAGGGACCCCACAGCTCTTGGCATTTTAAGAATGGGAGATGACCACAGCCCATAACCTGTTGGGCTGAGCATGGATACCTTTAGTGAGGCCATGAGAAAATTGGACTGGTAACACTGACTGACATTTACCATGATATCTGAAGAGATCTGTCATAACTCAGAGCATAGAGCCACCAAGGGAAATATTCTTATAAACTTCAGACCAGAACTTGACCTTTGGCCTTTCTTCTCTCCAGTCTTTCATTTCTATCTGGACTCTATTCATCTGCCACTCTGGTAATGACCTCCTCCTCAAGTATGCAACGTGATGGGGCTGAGGATCCAGTGATGATGCGGGGCCCTATGCCTCCATGGCCAGCAGTATGCTGCTGATTGGCCAAACCTAAACAACTTTTTTTCCCCCACTGTGGTGCTGGGGATGGAACCCAGGACATTGCACATGTTAAGCAAGCCCTGTATCACTGAGCTGCACCCAGCCCCTAAACAACTTTTAGAACCTGAGCTGCAGAAAACCTGCAAAGTGTGATTTGAGCTCTCCAACTAAGCTGTACAGGAAGGTAGGTGCACTAGGAAGAGGGAAGAGTGGATGTTGAGTGCCAACTCATCCCATCCCATTCCATCCACCTCCAATGCAAAGTAGGGGAAGGGGTGGTTGTGGCAAGCAAGTATCTTAGGCAAGAAAGGCCTCTGTCGGTTTTTCAGCCCTGAGGGAAGCAGCTACTTGGGATTGGGGTAAGATAGAGAGTGGGTATTACAAGAAGAGTTGGAAGATGGGGGCTGCACGGTAATGGGAGACGTGGTATATTGAGGGATAGGGTTATGGGGTGCTGTTGGGGGTGCCTGGAAGAGGTACACATGGACAGGTTAGTGTTTGTGTGCTGTGGCTCCTGGTGGTCTTCCTCTGCTTCCCTTAGCTCCCTCAGGACAGATGGCCCGGCACTTGGGCCCTTTGCAGAGACTGTGTGGCAGGAACCAGAGCCAGAGAAGGGCGGCCCCTAGCCTTTTTTCCTGCAGTTGGCAAGGACTGGGAACCAGTTTTATCATGTAAATTACATTTTCTGCGATACTAGTTTTTTTCTGATCATTGGACAAACCCATTCTTAGTAGTCACTACCTTGTCACCTCAATTAGAATTTTATTCTTTTTATTTTCAATATATCAAAGTCCATGTGTTTCTTGATCTTCCCTCAGAATCTGAAGCTGGAAGGAATGGAGGATCTTTCAGATGTTCTTGTGAGGCTGGGAGACTGAAGCTACTGTAAGAAGTTGGCAACAGGAGGCCCATCTTTCTCATGGCCAAGACGTCTCCACTCTGGCTGGAAGAAGATGTAGGGCTTGTAGCAAGGCTGTAGCCACCTGCCCTGGTGTCGGTTGCTCATCCCTTCTTGCCTTTACAGACTGGATGCTACAGCCCGAAGCTCTGACCATGAGTGATGAAGGGCTCTGTGCTGATGACCACCTATGAGGGCAGAAGAAGGAGAGGGGAGCTTCCTCTTCCTGCTCTGCACTGTGAAAATCAGTATCCATGCTTTACATCCCTGTGTAGTTCTAGTCTTTAGACTGACTTTTGTTATTTTCCACACTTTAATCTTACAGAGAATAACTTTTCTATAGGCATTCAATGTCTTTAAAGAGCTCCCTAATCCATGTACATAAAATACATCACACATACTTCTAGAAATGTATATATAATGCTTAAAAATAAAATCATTGTGAGGATATGGCTGGCAAAATATTTGAGTATCTGCCTGATGTTTGGTATTAGTTTGAGACCTGGGTATTCCCCTCAGCGATCTGGGGTGCTCACATGTCCCTGTAAGGTAGGATAAGCTTTCATGCTCCAGCTGGCAATTCAGGTTTTCCCATGGGGTCTGTGTGTAAATACCTATAGATTTTGCTAGAGGGTGATGACAGTAATAATAGTTAATATTTAAGTGCTCATTCACCCCTTCTCTGGGTTACCTCATTTAGCGTCTCTCCATATTACAAAGGAGGAAAAACAAACCCAAAAGTGAAGTAACTTGCGGGTGAAGAGCGGCTAGCTGACTGTCAGACCTGGCCTTGAGCCAGGTAGTCTGCCTCTAGGAACTGGGTTCCTGGATGGGGAGCTGTGCTGGTGACAGCCAGCTCCACAGAACTCAGCACAACCACAGATGTAAAATGTCCTCCCATAATCCCACAGGGGACCAAACTGCTTGCAGTTTGGGACAAGATTGTAGGTGCTAATCCATGTAACTATCCTGGGTAGGTCTTAGGTCTCTGCCAGGATATTTGTCATCACTCTTTCAAGTCAAGATCCTGGATGTTGGGCCAGAAGCAGCAAGAGTATGTAGTTGGCAATTATTCCTGATAATTTGTTCCTAAACCACAAACCATACTAAACAATTCTTTCCCCCCAGGAATGAGCTTTCCAAATTGTGCCCAAAATATCACCTACCCTCCTTTGGGAGGGTTGGAGTCTTGTGAACATGCTTTAGCGGAAAAAGCCGTGATACATAAGAAGGGGACTAAGGTAGAAAGAGAAAAGGGGATGAACTGGTTCCCGTTATAATACATATATACATGAAAATGTCACAAACTTCCTGTATAGCTACCTTAAAAAAGTCTTTTTTTCAAAAATGGAGAACAGAAAGGTGAAACAGTTCCTGTCTGGGGGTTGATACCAGTGGGAAGGGGGGAGGATATGGTGAGATACTATGTACTCATGTGAAAATAATAAACTGAGACCTGCTGAAACTATTCCAGGAATGGGGGAAAGGGGGATAAAGAGAAAGATGGAGGGGGTGAATTCAGCTATGATACATCTTAAAAACTTGTAAATGTCACAATGTATCCCCAGTGCAACAATAATAGGATAATAAAAAGCAGTGCCATGAAGGGAGGACCCACACCCTGTCTCACAGGGATTGGAACCTCCCGTGTTTCCTAAATGCCAGGTAAGTGCTGATCTGGCTCACCTTTTGGCTCTGGGAGGAGAAACTAGCCAATCCCAATCTCTCAGCACATTACGCTTAATAGTGGGGTCTGGGCTGGGGCTGAGCTGCCAAGAAGACTGGTGAGGCTGCTGCCAGCTTCCTTAATGAATCCGCCCCACCCCCACCCCCACCCTGCACCCTGCTTCTCCCTCTCATTACATGGTCGCTGTGTCCATTAGAATAAGTTTGGCTGCATGTAATAGAAAACCCGAGCAAGTGGATATTGTGGTCTGAATGCTGAGTGCCCCACTCCCCCCGCCCCACATACACTTTCATATATTGAAACCTAATCCCAGTACAATAGTGTTAAGAAGGAGGGACTTTGCAAAGTTAAATAGGTCATGAGGGTAGAGCCTCGTGACTGGGTTTGGAACCCTTATAAAAAGGGCCCAAGAGAGTTTGTTCACCTTTTCCACCATGTGAGGACACAGCAAGAAGGCACCATATATAAAGCAGGAAATAGCTCTCACCAGACATGGAATCTGTGTCCAGAACTGTGAGCAATAAATTTCTATTCATAAGCCACCCAGCCTATGTTACTCTGTTACAGCAGCACAAACACACCAAGGCAAGCCCATATAGCAAGAAAGTTTCAGTTATTAGAATATTCAACAATAGGACTTTCTTTAAAGGTTTTGTTGTTTTTGTTTTGTTGTTTTGCAGTGCTGGGAATCAAACCTAGGGCCTTGTACATGCTAGGCAAGTGCTTTACCTTGCCTAGGTAAGGTAAGATGGATGAGGAGCTCCATCTCCAGCCCATGGGTTTTTGAGACAGGGTCTTGCTATGTGGCTTAGCTGGTGTTGAACTTGCTTTGTAGCCCAGGTTGATCTCAAACTTGCAGTCCTGCCTCGGCCTCCTGAATGCTGGAATTACCAGCTTTATAAGTGAACCCCCCTCTGAATAGCAATTCTGCAGTCACTATTCATGTTACATAACCATTTTTAAAAATTGGTTTGTCTCTTTTTTTCTGAGATTAATCGGTAAACTTTATTTTAAAACCTGACTAAAAAGGCTGAACACAAGTGTGACCAAGTCACTTATTAAAACTTCTATAATTTGTGTAGTGAAATGAATCATTGACATTTTTGGGAGGGGTGGTACTGGGGTTTGAACTTAGAGCTTCACACCTGCTAGGCAGGTGCTCTACAGTTTGAGCCACACCTCCAGCCTTAATTGTTGATGATTAGACCAGAGAGCAGACATAAATGGGGATTATCCAAGGCAGTTCCTTATTTCTTCATGGTCTGTAATTTTCCTTCAACTATTTGACCATTTTTTAAACTCACTGAACATGTAACAGTGACTCTGAAGTCTTTGCTGTATCCTACCCCTGCAACCTTGCAGCACCACCTGATTGCTCTTTTTCCTGAATATAGGTAATACTCATACTTCTTTGCAAGTTTAATAATTTTTGGTTGAGGGGCCAGGTGCAGTGCCTCATGACTGTAATCCCAGCTACTAAGGACAAACAGAGTTCAGGAGGATTTCAGTTTGAGGCCAGTCCAGGCAAAAAGTCAGTGATTCTCCCATCTCAACAAATAAACCAGGTGTGGTGGTGCATGTCTGCAAACCCAGCTGTACAGGAGGCTGTAGGTAGGAGGATCATGATCTGAGGCCAGCTCTGGGCAAAAACATGAGACCCTATCTGGAAAATAACCAAAGCAGAAAAGAGCTGGGGTGGGGGGCGGGGCTGGGGATGTAGCTCAGTGGTTGAATGTTTGCTTTAGCATGCATGATTAAGGAAGGAAGAAAGGAAGGAAGGAGAGAGGGAAGAGAGGGAGGAAGGAAGAGAGAGAGAGAAAGAGGGCTGGGGCTGGTAGAGGGCTTGCCTAGCAGTGAGAGGCCCTGAGTTCAATCCTCAGTACTGCCAATAATAATTTTTTGGATGAAATTTAGATGTTGTAACAAAATGTTGTAGCGACTTTGGATGCTGTTGTGTTCTGAAAATGTTTGGATTTTGTCTGGTAAGCAGTAAATTGGCCTGGACTCAAACCTCAAATTTCAAATCCCTCACCGCATGCAGTTTTAGACACCTGTTCTTATGGTTACCCACTGTGGCTGTATCCCTGATCCCCGTTCATCTTTCTTCTGCCTGCCAAATTTGGTGGTTAGCTATGGATGTGGGCAGAGATGAGACTTGCCATCTCCATGACTTCCTTCTAGGACCCTGCCCTCCCCCATTTTCTCTTTTCCATCTGCTCTGCTTGGGGAAGGGACTCAGGATAAAGAAGCCTCAAATGCGCAGCTCTTGCCTGCACAGCTCTCACCTTCAAGAGACTCCTGTTTTCCCAGGCCAAGGTGTTTTCCCCACATGTGCATGCATTGTCACTTAGAGGCTGTGCCTAGAGGACAGCCACTGATGCTCAGGGTCATGTCTTGTCCCTTCACGACCTCACACTGCCAGGAGTTCCTCCTTTGTACTTCTAGATACTTCCCTTCTCTGGACTCTGATCTCTGGCATCTTTAACACCAGAGCTACATTTTCTCTCTCCAGCTCCCTGCTGGAGGATTGGGCCAGTAAACCACTGACTTGCATTTTTTGTTTGGTGTCAGGATAACTCACCTCTTTGATTCATAGATCTTCAGATCAAAAGAATTACACGGGAGCCACTGAAAGAAAAACAGACCTGTTTTAAGGAAACAGACCTGAAGAACTGTGCCCACACGTGGACCTGCTTTGGTTGACATGTTGACACCTGGATTGCAGTTGATGTTTAATGGGATGAGACCTTTGGAGTCTTGGAGAAGAGGAAGTACATTTTCTATGTAAGAGTGTTGTAAATTCGAGCCAGCCTCCACAAAACACCCAATGATAAAGTGCCTCCTGACAGTCATAGTTTTTGTTTTACTTTTTTGGTACTAGGGTTTGAACTCGGGGCCTTGTGCTTTCCAGGCAGGCGAACTATGCGAACCCAACAGCATCCAAAGTCATTACAACATTTTGTTACAACATCTAAGTTTCATCCAAAAAAAAAAAAAAATCATTTTTTTTTGTTTTTGTTTTTGTTTTTTGCAGTACTGGCCTGTGAACTCAAGGCCTTCATCTTGAGCCATTCCACCAGCCCTTTTTTTGTGATGGGTATTTTTGAGATATGATCTCAAGAACTGTTTGCCTGGGCTGGCTTTAAACTGTGATCCATGTTTTTTTTCATGGCTGATGGCCCTTTGGGTTGCTTTTCTGTGAATTTCCTGTTCATATTATCTATCCATTTTAAAATATTGGGTTACTTTTTTGATAGGTTAGAAAACCTTATTTAAAAATATGACCAAAAAGGCTGAATAAAAGAGTGATCAAACGACTTATCATTAAGATTGCTACACCATGTGTAGTGAACCAGGCATGGGTGCTCACCCCTGTAATCCTAGCTACTTGTGAGGCTGAGATGGGGAGGATCGAGGTTTGAGGCTGGTACAGGCC